TGGAGTTTGTCCAACGGGAAATCAAATTCAAAAATTGATTTAACAAAAAAAATATATAAGTTCAAATATTCAAAATTTGAAAAAAATTAATTTTGCAAAATTCAGTTTAAAATAATTGAAAAAATGACAAGGTAATGCTAAAATATGAACTAAAAAGTATCAAAAACAAAAATTGTACCCAAAACTTGTACTTGGCCTTAAAGAACAGTAATTTAAGTGTTTACAAAGTTCAATAATAAACAGGCTTATAATGTTTGTTCAAGCCTTATAAAGTACGAAATGTTTTGAAATATCAAATAAACCCAAAACGCATAGGTAACACCCAAAAAAGTTTACCAATTTTTCAAGAGATAAACTTCATTTCGTATTTTACAAAAATTGCTTTAGCTTAGTCTTAAAGTTAGCTCTAGCCTTACCTTTTACTTTAGAATTGGCCTTCAACCGTAGTCTTACAAGAAAATGTTTCACACTGCCCATTCAATTTAAAAAGCGAATGAGCAGTTTATAACATTCTCTTGTTAGTCTTAGCCTAGCCCTAACTCTAGCCTTTGCCGTAGCCTTAGCGTAGCCCTATCCCTAACTCTAACCTTAGACCAAACCCTAACCCTCCCTAGCCCTGGCTCTACCGTTAGACCTTAGCTTTAGTCTTAACCTTCGTCTAACCCCTATCGTACCTTGCTTTAACTTCATTTTATTTGACTAACCCTACGAACACCTTATCATATCCTTTGAAAGATAACGACCTTTCTACCCTGGCTCAAACTGTATATAACTAGCCAATCTTCCATCTGCCCTAGTAAAACCACTATACACACAATCCTAACCAATCCTACTTGGCCCTTACTCTACCCAACCAAGCTAAACCTACCCTATATACCTAACCCTACACTAAATATCAAACTCTACCCTACCCCACCAGTTAAAGCAGCAAAAAACCACAAATTATAAATAAATATATAAAGTAATATCAAAACCTCAAAAAGCAAATTTCGAAAAAGATGTAAGATTTTGGTATTAACTGACTCGTCTTTGTCCCTTTCAAAATTATCAGGATTTCCTTTTGCCATTCGCTCCAAATTAATTCCTCGAAAAAGAGTAAATCTAGCGAGGCGGCCCGACTTGAATATTCTCCAATTTTAATAACGCTTGATACTTCCCTTGGACTTTTTTTCAAAATTTTATAAAAATTTGAAAAAAAGCATGTAAACAATGCCTTATTCAAAGATATTTTAGATGTTTGAAAAATATTGTAAAGAACACTAATATGTATTTAAAAAAAAGGTTCATTGTAAAATGGATTTAAAAATCACTTTTATTTCAATTATTAGGTTGTTCAAAAAATTCTGTGCCCCTTCATCCCAAAAATTTGCATTAAGAGAGAAACAGAATTACTTGAAAAACATAATATTTTAGCGCACAGTTCAGTGTTTGCTTAACAAATTTTACGTAACGTTTGTTACAGTATCCCAATCAAAAAATTGTCAATTATAAAAATATTTGTCGTAGGCTGATTGTTCTATAGACATATTTTCATATTTTTAAAACTAAAACTATATTTAAAAAAGCAGATTTTCAAGAGATACCAAATTATTCAAAAAGTAATAAACCATAAATTCAACTTCGGAATGTTACAGTAAACAGATCAAAAAATTATCAATTATAAAACTAATTGGCACAGCTTAAATAGTATAAATCAATATTTTTAAGAGCCTGCTAGCTTTTTAAACCTTTTTATAATGAAGGTTTTGAAAAAATGTTTAGAAATTCAATGTTACAGTAATCTAATCAAAAAACGTTCTATTATAAAAATATTCCCCAAAGCCTGCTAGATGTATACACAAAATTACAGCCTTTTTGGGCATCTTCCCCACCCTACACCACTCAAAAACGTCAACTACAACGTGTTATCAAAAAACTGTTAAGCGGGCGGCAATCCCTCAGCCAAAGAGATGAATTGCCAGTTTGGCCGTTATTATAATTTTCGAAAAGGGATTAACCACACGCTAAATATCCGCCATTTTCATGTAAAGCCAAGTAAATACATGTATGTCATTAACATAAAGTGTTATACCAAGCCCCGCTTACAATGGTAAATAGTGACAGTTAGACTTTGGGGAAAGGCGGAAGAAGAAGTTTTTGAAATGTTAATTATGGACTGGGAAGAGACTGTTTTAATCGTCATTGGAGGTGGAAGTAATGGTTAAAGTGATAAGATAGACATAAATGATTTAAAAATACAAAATAAATTACATTGTAATGCCAAAAATAGTCAAACATCTTTAACATACAAGCATATATCTTACTTTACATCACTCCAACTCAATTATCAATTTATATGTCCAAAGCAAAGCTTTACGAGAGTCAAATAAATATGCCTTGATACTACTGTAACTCTAGACTTAGGGTAACCCCCTATCTAGACATGAGGAACAGGCCGGAGCGGTCTTGACCCAAATTTAGGTCAAACCGGGCCTGAAAACCAAAACCCAACCCGTTCCTCATGTCTAGCCCTAGCCCAGAGCCCTGACCCTAGCCTAATCCCAGAGCCGTAGCCTTAGCTTTAGCCCTAGCCTTTCTCTACCCATACCCTAAGGTTCCCCTACTCCACGTTAACCTTATTTTGTTTTTTAACTATTCAAAAACCAACATTTTCCAAATTTTAACTGCAATTGTATTAGTAAGTACATATAAAATATCCCCCCATATAAGTCATCAAAATTTACCATGCACCCACTCTATTATGTATGCTTAGATGACCAATTTGAACATCCCCTCCCACTCATAAAAATGTAAATCTAGCTTCTTTGAATCGAAAATGTGCTAATTTTAGTAAAAATTAACCACCAATGTTTGCACAAATAGCACGGCGGATTTAATAAGACAAAAAAGGGAAACAATCATCCAGATTAGGCTAATTCTAATTAAAGATGATGCAAACTGCAAAAAGTTGTAGGAAAAACTTTTAAAGCCGATTTTTAAAATTTGAAAATTAGAAACTTTGTAAAAACTTCAAAATTAAAAAATATGTAGGTCCAATAAAAAATTGCATAAAACTCTTGAGCAAATATAGGTAAAGTTATAGTCTTTAGATTTACCTTTAGCTTTAACCCTTGCCTTAACCTTAGCGCAGCTTCATAATAATTTTAGAATTTCAAGTTTAATAAAAAGTTAGTCCTAGCATCGCTCCTGTCTATGCGTTAGCTTTGTAAACACCCAGTAAAGCCGAAAAATTCAAATATTTATTATAAAACTTTTAGGTCAAAGATTAAAATATTACAAAATAACAGTACTTTTTGATAAAAAAATTGTTAAAAAAAGTACCTTAGTTCAACAAGTTTTTCTTTTAAAATGCTGAACGTTTTTTGCAAAAAAGTAAACTTTTTAACTTCCAATTTTAAAAATAGCCATCAGTAAATAAATAATTTGCCTAACAAACACAAAAAAAATTCTTGAGTTTTGTCTTAACTTTTATTCAAAAAACAAAACAATTTGTTTAGAACCATAAACTTAGCTTTATTCCTAACTTTATAATGAATTTAAATTATAAAATTGTATTTTATCTTCCAAAATAAACAAAAACTTTTTATCTGTAATGCCTTAAAGCTAGGGTTAAAGCTAGTGTAAGAACTAGAGTTAAAGCTGAGACTAAAGCTAAGGCTAAAGCAAGGACAAAAGTTAGAGTTAATGCCAGTTCTAAGCCTGTAACTTACCATTAGGCTAAGTCAAAAGCTAAGACAAAAGCCAAGGATCAGGCCGAGACTCAGGCTAACCCTAAGACGAAGGTCAGAGTTATAACCATAAGTTAAACTTGGCCTACCTTTTCAAATATTAGTATTTTTACTGCTGCTGCTTTTCTCCCATGGCTCTAAAAATGTTTAACTACCCTCTCTTCCCCAAACCTGCCCAAAAACCACCCCTTCCAAACAGCTTATCATAGAAATTTCAAAACAATCAAAAATTTACAAAAACTAATCAGAAGCCTCGAAAGTTAAACAAAAGCACGTCTTTATCCAGATTAAGCGTTCCGATTATAATTTGAGCACATTGCCAGACCCAAAATTTTTCAGACAGGTGCTATTAAGCACGGTTTCGAATAAAACCAAAAACACACGTTTTTTACGTCCAAAGTAATGAAAACTTTACATTATTGGGGCAAAGAACAACAGATGAAGGTTTTCGTATTTTGTATATTGTGGCAGTGGGGTACTTAAATCACTATTTTTACTTGTTGAAGGGGGGGGGGGGGAGCGGGGAGGAAAGGGCGGTTCAAAAATGTTTGAAAGTTTAAAAAAAGTTTCACCCCACCCTTACCTTAAAAAATGAAATTTCTAACAGAACCCCCAGCCCTTTAGGTGACCACAGCCCTTCGATGACACCAATCTTGAAGAAAATTGGCTGAAAAATGAATGAGAAACGTAATTCCCGGAGGACATTTATTCCAAAGGTTTTTTCGCCGCTTCGAAAAGCAATTTGTGGCTCTTTAAAATCAGATGGAACGCCGCTCCTGGAGACAAGGATTCTGTCCGTTGGGCCAAATTAGAAAACAGTCCCTCAGCTCTTCAATTGTTAGACAAAAGAGATAAGGGCATGGTGAAGGTCGGGCGGAAAAACAAGCTTTTGAACTTTGTGGCGGGGGTTTAAGCTTTTTTTAAGTAGACATACAAAGAAGTTAAAAATCCGTATTTTAGCATCGTAAAATGAAGATATATACTAGGACTAAAAAATTTTTTGAAACAATCAAAATTTCAAACTTTTTTTAACTTTTAAAAAATTTTTTAAATTAAAAAATATATTTAAAAACTAAACTTTGCCATTTAAAATACAGTTGAAGAATTATTTAGCGTATTTTACCCTGCTCCTCAAAAAAAAAACAAAAAATTTCGTTTTACCATCGAATTTAATTTTTTAAAATTTTTACAATTTTCAGATCAAAAAATAAAGAAAATATTTAAAAATGCCATTCCCTAACCATATAACGACTAAGAAACAAAAATCTTGTCCTACCTTGAAACGGCCAGCACGCCTTGAACTCTCTGAACACCGTAAAACTCGACGAATCCGCCGGCTCTCTCCACTCGTTCGCGTTCTTCTGGCTGAAAACAAAAGAAACAAATTATTCGAAACAAACAGTGCCACAATTCAAGTGCCATTTAATCAAGGAAAAAACAACTGTCATTGTGAACTAAATGACATAATTATTTTTTTAAAAGTTTTAGTAAAAATAAAATTTTTAAAATTTTGTTTCAAAAATGTTAAACTTAACAAAAAATTATAATTACCTATAAAAAAGTTAACTAAGCGCCTGAGCTATACCCAAAGCTAGAGCTAGAACCACAAATAGATCCAAAGCTCGGGTTAGCGCTAGAGCAAAACTAAAGCTAGAGATAGGGCTACAATCAAAACCAGAGCTCAGGCTAGAGATAGGGCTAGAGCTAAAGCTAAGATTAGGCTAAGACCAGGGCCAGAGTTAAAACTAGGACTACGACTAGTGCTAAGGCTACAACAAGGACTAAGGCTAAGGCTAAAACTAAAGCTAAAGCTAAGGCTAAAGCTAAGGCTAAAGCTAAGGCTAAGGCTAAGGCTAAAACTAAGGCTAAAGCTAAGGCTAAGGCTAAGACTAAGCTAGGCTCAAACTAAGAATAAAACTAAGGCTCAGGCTAAAGCTAAGGCTAAAGCTATGGCTAGGGATAAGGCTAGGACTACAACATTGGCCACGGTTTTGGCTAGAACTTTGGCTAGGACTTGGATTAGAACTAAAGCTCAGAAACTGTTTTTGCTTTTTGACCATATCCTTAAAAATTTATTAACTACCCTCTTTTTTCCCCCAACCTCCCCAAAAACCACCCCTCCCAACACCCTCCATCATAACATTTTCAAAACCTAATTGAAGCGATTAACGCTGAGGTTGTGACCGCGAACGTCACTTCCTCGAATCCCATTTCAAACCACTCGAGAAGCTGAGTTATACCGCTAGGACAAATAATAAACATACAATCCTGTACGTATAAGTACGAGGAGTTTAGCACGAAAACATGTTCATATAATATGGCAGTGGAATGTTGTCAGTCAACAGGCATTACAAGGTCCAAAATAGTACAAACGGCATAGGATTAAGCACAAAATATTGCCAGTTGCTTTTGAGGGGTTAAAGAATATTGAAATGTCATTTTTAAAAGTTTTATTTTTTTAAATTTTTTAATAAAAATTTTCGAAACTTTTTAACCTAAAATGACCTAAAAAAACAAAAAATTAGAAACACAATAACGACCCCCCACTGCACGTCCAAAAATAATGTCATTGTTTGTATTTGCGGGTAATTTATGGCAAAAAGTCGACCGAAAAAGTGAAACAAATGCCAACAGGAAGTGTCAAGCTTTGGGCTTCCGCCGCCACAATCCCAGCGTATAATCGTCAAAGTAATTACAGTGACACACAACTGACATGATGCCTCTTCCTTATGGGTTCAGTCGGAACGGTTGGGTAAAATACGCCGTTTTAACCCAAACTTGGAACGGTGAAAAGGTCTGTTTGACTTGTAGCCCTTGTCATTGCTCTAGAGTCTCATAGCCTAACTTAGCCTGCCTTGCCATGCCATGCCTGTCTTTGCCTTGCCTTGTCTGGCCTTGCCTTGCCCTCAGACCTATCCTACGTTACCCGCCTGAGATTTTTTATTTTATAACCTTTATCTTTTTAAAATTTACAAATCTACAAACAACGTATTATACCATACCAAACAATATAAAAAAATCCGGCGCTACTCTAAAGAAATAACCCAGTATTACTAATGAAAGCACCCAATTTTTATCCTATTTAAGGCACCCAAAAGTATTCAAATTTTGCATAATCTTGCAATTTCATTTTGTTGTTTTTCCTTTTTTGAAAACGGTCATTCATATTTTATCGACTGCGTGAGACGGTCGGGTCAGCATGGAATCTGACCGTGGTGATCATGGATCCATCGACTACCTGACAACCTAGGCCAAGATCAACCACCTTCAAAGAAGTCATCTTCTATCGAGTTTATGAAGACTTTTACTATGCTATACAGATGGATAACAGGTAAGAATTTAGTATTTACTTGAAGAATACGTTTGATTTTACCATAGTATTAATGTTATCCTGTTATAGTAGCCCATTGTTTAGTTATAGTAGCCTACTATTTAGTTACAGTAGCCCATTTTTTAGTTACAGTAGCCAAAAGCCAACTAACTAGTTATAGTAGCCAACTATCTATTTATAGCGGCCAACTATCTAGTTACAGTAGCCCATTATTTAGTTACAGTAGCCAACAGCCAACTAACTAGTTATAGTAGCCAACTATCTATTTATAGCGGCCAACTGTCTAGTTACAGTAGCCCATTATTTAGTTACAGTAGCCAAAAGCCAACTAACTAGTTATAGTAGCCAACTATCTATTTACAGCGGCCAACTATCTAGTTACAGTAGCCAACCATCTAGTTACAGTAACCAACTATCTAGTTATAGTAGCCCATTTCTTAGTTACAGTAGCCCATTATTTAGTTACAGTAGCCAACCATCTAGTTATAGTTGCCAACTATCTAGTTACAGTAGCCGTGCACCTTATTATATTTTTTTCAGTTTTCGCTACAACAATCGCCATTCACGAATTGGACACTTCTACACCGCTCTTCAAAACCGCCACGTTTCATAATGATAAAATTTGAATACAGATTGCTGGGTGCTTTAAACCATTAGTGGGTGCCTTTATTATGTTGGGTGCTTTCTCTAGTATGGCCCCAAAAATCCTTACATTATCAGCCTTGTGGTCAGTAGACAATACCACGCAGTTCCCGTCAATGTCACAACCAACAGCTCTCGAGTCGCCAACGTTGATTATGGTCAAGAATCTGTTTTGATGAATGTATGCTGATAACAATGTTGATCCTAAAAAAAATTTTAGTTTAAAAAAATTTTTACAAATATTTTTAAAAAATTAAAAAACTAAGTTAAAAACCTTAAAATGAAGACCCAACTTTTAACAAAATTTAAGAGCAATTAGTTAACAATTCCATTAGATAACCATTTTTTGATTTAAAGAAGACCAACACCGTTCGATCAATTGGCACTGACAAATTGGCCCCAAATGATTGACAACGAAAAGAGACGTCAAAACATTTGGAACAGTCGATTAAAGGTTAAACATTACTAGTTACTATGTTATAGTACGTGTAACAGCATTGTAAAAGCCTACTTAAAGAACTAAAAGCAAAATGTTGAAGTTAGAAAAGTAGATAAAATAGGGTTGATAAAGGAAACGACACAGTAAAAAGAAAGTTTAAAAACCTCAAGAAAAGAAGACCTTGTTAACTTTGATGAATATTTTCTCATTGATAAAACACAAAAACCTAGTAAAACTTGAGCTTAAATTAAAGCTGCTATTCAGTATTATCCTACTATAAACGCTTCACTAAATTAAAAGATCTTCTAAGCCCTTGAAATCAATTTAATCTTCTTCAAGATACCTTCTTCAAAAAAGTGGTTTTGAACCACGTTTCGAGCTACATCTTTTGAAACAGTACATAATTCTAATCATCTTTAAACTTTTTTAAAATCAGCATGAAAACACAATTATAATGATACCAAAAACGTGTATTTATGAAAATTGATTTTCGAGATCGAAAAAGAAACATTCAGATATTGTAGTAGACCATCAAAAAATATTTTTAAAACTATTGGACTTACCAGTATAATTGACAGTTTTCATTTTCTTTTTCATGAGCTCCTCGTCCAGTTTGGTTGTGATTTCTTTGATCACTTGTCCCGTGCTCAGACAATCCAATTGTTCCACGTCCAAACGTTCTTCTTCCTCTGCGATCGCTGCCACCACTGTGTTGTTGAACTTTCGTTCCAGGAACTCGGAAACGTACTGAAACATGGTTATCTTGATTTTAGATAAGAAAAACTACAAATTTATTTTAAAAAATTAAAAAATAATAAACAAAGTTGGCTTTAGCCTTTCAATATTTTAAGAAATTTTTGACATTTCGTGTTTTACTATTATGTTGTTCAGGTAATTATGTGCCGCTTAACCGAAAATTTGCTTTGAGAAGAGCACAAAATTATTTAAACAAACTAATATAAGACTTACAGCTCCACCATGACCATCAAACACAGTAAACATAGTTCGGTTCTTCAGCGAATCATGAAGATAGCCCATTCTGTCTTCCATCGTCTTTCTTTCTCCTTGTGTGGCGAAGAAATTAAAGTTCCAGTGAGAGTATACCCAGTTTTCTAAAATTAGAAAATTTTAAAATTCAAAAAATTTTAAAAAAATTTCAAAAAAATTTAAAAGTGGCTAGAACATTATCTCCGTATTTTACCTTATCTTTGATTAGTTACAACTCACAAAAAAAAAGTAAAAGATCGACAATACTGTTATACGTTACATAGTACTATCAAGTACTTTGAACTAAAATAAAATAAAAACTTACTATCACTCTCAGGCACCTTCTTCAAGCTCAAATATTGAATGTTTGGTACTGATGGTGCTGATGACAAAGACGACATCATGTCATTCTTCTTCAAATGTTTGGCTGATAACAGTGGTTGATAATGGCAATTTAACAGCCAATTGATGTAGCGATGCATGGAATAGGTGAAGCACAAAAACGAACAAAAATAGTTTAGTACTGAGATTAAGGCTGAAATTGTTTTGTAATTTTTTTAAAAATTATTGTAAAATACGCCCTCTATAATTTTAGGTTTATAATGTGTGAAAATTAGCTATGAGTCGTGGCTTATTACTTTTTGACCAATCTCATAGCTCAATACTTTTTGAATAAAATGGTAGCTCATTACTTTTTGAACAACTAAATCTTTAAAAAAACTTTTAAAAAACCAATTTTATTGTGTCTCATAACTTACAATAGTAGACTTCGGGATGCGTTATGCCAATGTCGTTTAGATCACCGAAGAAATCAGTGTAGCTTTCCGCCAACATTGGTATCATTTCACAATTTTCTAAAAAAACTTTTTTAAATTAAAATTACAGATTTGAAATAAAATTAAATTCACGATAAAACATTCTTAGTTCTAGCCCCAGCTTTAGCCTAGAGCCCTAGCCCAGAGCTCTAGCCCAGAGCTATAGCCCAGAGCCCTAGCCCAGAGCCATATCCCTGAGCTCTAGCCCAGAACCCTAACCCAGAGCCCTAGTCCAGGGCCCTAACCCTGTTCTAGTCTGACGCAAATTCAACCTAATGCTGGTCTTAATATGAAAACATATCAATAAAACCAAATAGTCATATGCCCTCAAGTATATCACGGTAAATTAATTGTCGTACAATTTGGCGTAACAGATGTGCTTTGATTTCACGCTATAAAGTGAATCAAAGATAAAGACAGGTGAAAGTTGTCTTTCATAAATTTAAAAAGTTTAACGACTATGAAAGTAGAGGTATTAAAGATCAAAAGTGAGTAGAAAAATAAGTAAAAAGTTATAAAATGCTATACTATTCATCATAACAAGTATTACATATATATTACCTATTAGGTTGTTCAAATAATTCTGTGTCCTCAAAAAGTAAATTTACAAGGTTAGAAGGCACACAATGAATTGAACAACCTCACTAAAAAGCTTTAAAAGACCAGCTCACTTATCGGTTTTTAGTAAACTTCAAAAAAAAGCAAGTTCAAGTAGTATAATATTAGTTTAACGACTTGTGAGTACCTGTTACCGTCCTTACAAATCATAACTTTCATTGTGGTTAGACGTAAACATCTTTAACTGACTGGTAGTACCCAAAATATAGTCTACTTCAAAAATAATACTTTAGGTTTGACTCATCTAACAATAACACCTTGGATGTCATAAACAATATCACATAACTTTCAAAATCATTGCATTTTTTATTTGAAATTTTAAAAAAATTGAAATCATCACAATTAACTACAGTAATATTCTTAAAAAACTACCCAAAAGTATTTTTACTCATCATAAAGAATTTATTAAAACAAGCTAAAACAACTTAACTATCTCAAAAATACCGAGAATGCTCCGAAAAAATGCCCTTAGGTTATGAGGAAGTGGAATGTCGAAAAATTTGACTGATTTCGAAATGTTCTCGAGGAGAAATCACGTTTCCTAACAAAACTGTGGGACGGAACGGCGTGTACGGAACACCTGACGCAACGAAGTAGTTCAGTGCCGCCTACAACTTGTAGATATCAAACATCATATTTTTATGATAAAATAAATTCTAGGAGTAAAGTGCAGTACAACTCTTGTATAACGAATCGCTAGGAAATTTTAAATTTTTTCGTTATGAAGGGGTTTTACAGAAGTTTTAAATTTACTGTGTAGTACAAAAGGATATATGTTGTAGTAGATGAGGAATTAAAAGTTGTTCGTTATAAAAAGTGCATTACTAAAGAAGGTCAAGTTTAGGCTTTATATGCATACAATAACTTTACTACATAATATCGTAATTAAAAAGTAAAATACAAAAATGAAAAAGTACAGTAGTCTAACAGTACGCATAATATAGCAAGAACAAGGAAATATACCCATTATCGCTTCCTCACACGTCTTGTTGTTTACATTCTGAAGTGGTTGTTTTTACCAATCTCAAATTTAGGCCAATCTTATTTGTGACGGATCGATTTCCTCCTACACTATCATTGATCTTAACGTTCAAAACGTAAAAACATTATGTATTTTAACAAACATTTTGTCAAAAAAACTAAAATTATAATAAAAAAGTACTGTAACTTTAGTCATTATAGAGAAAAAAAATAGTAATAGAGCATACAGCCAATAGGCATGAGAAACAGGCCGGGACCAATTTTCAGGCCCGGCCCGATCGAAATTTGCTCAGATCCGGCCCGATGGTAGGCTCGACCTGGCCTAAAAATTTTTTATACGTGGAAACGAGCCAGACCCGGCTCCTTTTCAGGCCTAATGTGAGGCCCGGCCCGATTGAAATTTTGCTCAGACCCGGCCCGGACCGATGGTAGACCCGAGCCGGCCAAAAAATTTTTTATACGTGGAAACGGGCCAGACCCGGCTCATTTTTCAGGCCTAATGTGAGGCCCGGCCAGATCGAAATTTTGGTCAGACCCGGCCCGTTTCTCATGTCTAACAGCCAAACCTTTTTAGTATTCCACTCTTAAATCAACAGTAAAGCTACAGTTGTAATTACATTATTAATGAGTTCAAAAGAGGAGGTGAAAACGTTACTATAAAATAAGTTACAGTAGGCTTGAAGTATTAAGTACCGACATAAAAAAACCCACCATACTTTTCCTGTAATTTCATGTAAAAAACGGCGGGTGTTTTATGTCAGCACCTAGTAAACAAAACTCAGAATGGTTTAAATAGAGCTAGCTGATATTCGCATAAAATTTTTTTTTCAATTTTTAAAATTTAAAAACATATTTTAAAACATTTAAAATTGCAACCCAACCCTCCCTATACCCATTCCATCCTTATCACTATATCTCCTCCCCCTAAGTTTCAACGTTCCTAAACTACGCCATTTAACTGCAAACACTGTGCCAATCCGTGCAATAACCGTCAATCAGGCCACAATAATTAAGTCCGAGATCAAAATGATCTTTTTCCCGAAACGTACCTCGTGTTCACGGTTCAATAACATCGAAATAGTATTTGGGTTGAGGAAGGAATGGCAGAGATTGGGAACGTCGAAAACGAGCCGTTCAATCTTGGCCGGCTTCAAAACAAAAGGAGCCAACACGTGTTGCCAGGTGGTGATTAACCTTGTATAAACACGTTTTTCATAGCGATTCCGGAGAATTATAGTCACCAATTTCTTGGGTTTAATGACTATTACTTTCTTCACATCTTGTTGCTATAAAATGACAGTATTTAGAGTATTATATTATACTATGTAATTTATCGTGAATACATATAAAATTTAAAAGCTCGCAAGCTTAACCATATCCTATAGTGCCCGTACTCTATCCCACCTTCCCTAACAATAAGAACAAACAAAAAACACCAAAACGTTTATAAAAAGCAGTTTATTCGCTGAGATTCTTGTCTTTGACCATTGGATCGTCAATGTCGTTTGTGTCGTCGTCGTCCTGAATCAGTCGTTCTTCGCTTCGTTGTGTGTTCTCTTCTTGTATCTCCGCGACAGGATTGATAATGTCACTGTCGTCGTCGTCGGCCGTGTTAAAGTTCTTCGTTACTGTCGCATTTGACGGAGACGCTTTTGTAGAATGAGATGATTTGGACGACCTTTGAGTTTTATCTAGTGTTAGACCTGAAAATAGGTTTTTGGTTATCAACTATAGTAATGTACTGTAATTTACTGTACTGTAATGCAATGTACTGTACAGTACAGTACTGTACTGTACTGTACTGTACTGTACTTACTTTTACCCCTAGCTTGTTTTACACATATCAAGTAACTCGACCGCTTCTGGCTATCGAACCGAGCCGATTTTTCAAACCGGTCCGTTTTGATTTTTTTTCTCGACCCAAGCCAACCTGATTGCCAGGTCTAGCTCCAAAACCTACCCATCTTTACAGTTCCAAATTTTAGGTACTCCGACCTCTACCAATCTTTATACTTCAAACCTACTTTTACTTTTCTTGGAAGATTCATTCCTCTGCTTCTTCTTCGACTTCTTGGTCCCACTCTTCTTCTTCGAACTTTCTGCTGACATCGACTTCTCGGATCTTGACTTTTCCTTCTTCGAACTCTTTTTACTCTTTTTGGAACTGGGCTTCTTCTCGGACATTGGTTTATTATCGTCTGGATTGGTGGAGTTTGTGGTGGAACTGCCAGTTGGAGCACTTTGTACTACGGGTTTTTGGCGTACCTTTTTGCGTTTTTTCTTCTTCGGTACGTTGCTGTTCTTTTGTGGAGAAACTGGCGATATTGAGGGCTCGGATGTAGGCTGAAATTTGCATAACAATATCAGTTCTGGAGAAATAAAATTGACGTTTCAAACCGTATTTAAAAAAACTAAGAAAAGTTTTACCTACGAACAAAACTGGTCATTTCCTATAATTTTTACAATGTTATCCTCGCCAACCTCAGCCAACCCGCCCAAGAAAAACTATAACAACACCTACTTTTCTTACCTTTTTGCCACCACTGCCACAATTGATTACTCCAAAATATCCAATCGAAAAGCCCACGGTGACAATGACGATGATGCCTTCAGGTAGTGAGTAAAATATCATACCAACTATGTGTAAAACGTTCCGCACCAATGCCACTTGATTTTGGAGCAAAATTAGGTAGAATTATAAGAACGGCCGACCTCTTTATTCTATACAAATAACCAAAAATGAAGTTTTTGGGTGAAAACGACAAAATATCTTGAAAAGTTCAAGTAATTGAAAGCTTTTAAAAATTTCAAAAAATTTTGAGAAAACATTGTAAAAATTCAAAAGCAATCTGTTTACATTTTTCATTTATTAAGTTTTTTCAAATAATTCTGTGCTTACTAACCCCGAAAATTTGCTTTGAAAGCGGGCACAGAATTACTTAAACAACCTAAAAAAGCCTATTAAAAATCATCTGAAAACCCCTAAAACAATGCCAAAAACCATTTTGAGATTAGTAAGTTTATCACAAATCGTGTTATTAAGTAACGAAATTCATTGATTTAGGTTCAAAATTAAGTACGAACTAGTTGTAATACCACAAAAACACATTCACAATAATACAGATAGAAGTTTGGAAAGAAAGTGTGTCGAAACATGCTTAAATTACAGTGAAACAATCATGGCTTACTATAAGACAAGAATATTTTACTGTAAAACATCGATACCTTACTGTAAGACATGCTTGCTACTGTAAAACATTCATATCTTACTTTAAAAGACGCATACCTAGCTTACAACGTTAAAAATAATGATAACTTGATTACAATTTGTTTTCAAGGGCGAAATGATCAGTTACAGCACTGATAAAGCAAAATTCCTATAGTACTATTCAGTAAATTAGAAAATTTACAGTACTTTTAAAATCACATACTAAAACAAGTTGTAAGCAACAAAGGATAGGAATGGCTACAAAAACTGATAAAGTGCTATAGACAGTTCTACAAAATAGTAAAATACCTTTATACAATCTGAATAGAAATCGAAGACTTACTGTTTACAATCGTAGTTATGGCAAATATAGCTAAAATGTTTTAGAAATCGTTTAAAACTTAAAACTTAAAAAATTTAAATAAATTTTAAAAAATTTAAAAATGAAAACATAGAATAATCAAACTTCTTGTTACTGATATTTCGTGAGAATATCTGTAATGCCACAGTTAATACAGCCCAATATCTGCCATACCTTTAGCTAAACCAACTAATGCATCAAAAGTTTCAAAACTAATTACACAGTAGTCAGCCAACTTTAAACTGAAACTCAAATTATGCTTAAAACATTTTAGCAGATGCTTTAACACTCGGTAAAGACTTGTAGCGTATTTTACAATGCATCCCAATGAGAAAGACATATTAACGTGCCAAACCTAACAATTGCACTGTTTGTTTTCTCCTTGAGGCGTGTTTCCATTCCGAGCAGTTAGTTGTTGCTTAGGCTGAACTCCAGTGTCGGCTTGGTTTAGATCCAGGCTGAAATTTTATTTTATAAAAAAGACTTTCGAAGCGGATATATAATTTATTCGGCTTGAAAGATGTTTTTCTAGTCTTAAGCCTCGTAAAAAATCTAAAATACAAATCAAAATTCCAATAAAAAATCAAAAAATTAAACTATAGAAATGTAAACTAATTTTTTTGCCCATTTACTTAACCATAAAATCCAAAAATCATTAAAATCTTCAAAAGGTTACTCTGGATTGAACACAAGGCAGGGCCACTGAAATACCCTGTACCGGGCAAGTATATTCAGAAAGGAAGGAAAATAAAGAAAACCGTCAATGCCCTGTCCGATGTTCAAACCTGCTTGCCTCCCTCGTTAAAAGTTTAAAACATTTTTTAGTCCGAAAACAGCATAACTTTTTGATCTTCTCGTACAGACCAGCTTTCATCAAATCATTAATATTATCGCTATGTCACCTAAATTTTCAATCAAATAAACAAAATTACTTACCTTCCGTCTTGAATGTTTTGGAAGATTCTCTTGGCCGTTTCTAAGAATGCGTCTTCAACGTTTTCTCCTCTGAAACATAAAAATAATAAAAACGTAAACACAAATTAAGCAATACTTTCTAATCCATCCTCATGTACACGCACATTTCAACGTATTTTACCTACATTATATAAAATCTTTATAGACAATACTAACAAGGAAAGTGTCAAAAGGTGTACCTAACGCCCAGACATGTGATACAGCTCAAAAAAATTCTGTGATCGTCCTGATTGAGAATCCGTTTTCAAAAATTGCTAAATTTTTGTTTCGACCGAGTTATGGTCGTTTAAAGTTTGCACTGTTTTCCTATAAATTTCTCGAAACGGTCATGAAGAGAAACGAACGAAAAGAGAAGCGTGATCAGGTGGCCGAATGGATAAAGCGTTATCCTTCGGTGACGCTGCCGCAGGTTCGAATCTCACTGCGTGCAAACTCTTTTTTACTTTTTGTCTGATTATAAAAAGTGCTCCAAAAGCACCACTAAAGTTACACTATAGCTTAATTATTCTAAAAAAGTTTTGTTTTTGAAAATATTTTCAAAAAATATAAGTTATACACATATTCCAAGTGATAACCTATGTATAGTCATATAATAAATCAAAAAATAATTTTTATTTTTAAAAAGTACTAAAATACCTTTGATTTAAATAAGTAAAATATCTTCAAAAATTTTTAAATTATTACTTTGTGTTTTTAGAACATAAAACATTATTATGCAATTTATTGACAAATAACGTTAAAAAATCTAGTACCCTAAAATTATAAAAGTTTATTGTGACCTTAGTGGTGCTTTTGGAGCACTTTTTATAATCTGATAAAAAGCAAAAAGAGTTCGCACGCAGTGAGATTCGAACCTGCGGCAGCGTCACCGAAGGATAACGCTTTATCCATTCGGCCACCTGATCACGCTTCTCTTTTCGTTCGTTTCTCTTCATGGCCGTTTTGAAAAATTTATAGGAAAACAGTGCAAACTTTAAACGACCATAACTCGGTCGAAACAAAAATTTAGCAACTTTTGAAAACGGATTCTTAATCAGGACGATCACAGAATTTTTTTGAGCTGTATCACATGTCTGGGCGTTAGGTACACCTATTGACACTTTCCTTGTAAAACATGATCAACATTACATTTTAAGTGTTTTACAACAAAACTCTTCTCAAAAATTAATATTAAAAGAAAAATAAGAATAGAAACTATTGACTTATAATATACTACTGTAACTGAATTCAAGTTTTCTTACGTTTTAGCCGAGCACTCCATGAACAATAACCCATTTTCATCAGCAAATGCTTTCGCTTCTTCGTATGTTACATCTCGTTGGGCGTCCATATCGGATTTGTTTCCAATTAAAAAGATAACCGTATTTGGATTTGTCAAGTTTTTAGCATCAGCTAGCCACGAACTTAAGTGATTGTACGTCGATCGCCTTGTCACATCGTACACCATGAGAGCACCAGCTGCTCCTCGGTAATACGAACGGGTTACTGCGCGGAATCTAAAAGATAAAAGTAGGAATACCCTTTTTAAAATGAACAATTCAATACATTTTAGCTAAAAGCTACTATAATATCTAAATTATTGTTTTATTCATCGAAAATTAGCTTTTCCTTTACATATCTCGCAGATAAAACACTACTTTTACCCACACTTCTCTACTATACTATATTATCATCTACTTCCCCATACCAACACCAATATTACCTTTCCTGTCCAGCAGTATCCCAGATCTGAAGTTTAATCTTCTGACCATTAACTTCGATTATTTTCGTACCAAATTCAACTCCAATCGTATGTGGACAATCAGCCATAACTAAATTTACAATCAGCTAAAAATAAAAACAAACTTACACTTCTTTTCCGTGAACTGATGTAACAAACACGACTTCCCTACTCCCATGTCACCAATTATAATGTACTTGAAGATGTATGCATAGTTGTATGGTTGATTAGCCATTATTATGTGTAATGTACAAAATGTAGAGATTCAAATAAAAGTGCACAATTGATAACGTAGAGTTTACTACCAAATTTCTGGAATTATACTATGGTGTTTTAAGTTTTTAGTTATAATATAACTTTTGAAATTTAAAAACCGCGAGAGAAATAAAAAGTAAAATGTATTACCAGAAGCTTATAAAGCCATGAGTAATATAACATTTCATCCTTTTTCATTCAAAACCAAAAAAATATTTTTAAAGAGCTATCTATACCTAACCATGTGATTTATTTCAAAACCGAATTACTCAAAAAATTAAACAAAAAATATTAAAATTAAACTTTATAAAAATGTAGTACAATATTATACATACTATAACATACTTTTTTATAGAAACAACACAAAAATATTAAATTCACAATGTTCCTTCAAAAAATAACAAAATTAACCCAAAAACCATAAAAATCCGAAATCAATACCCAAAAAAGCATCTTATCTTACGTTTTATTACCTAAAAACAACACATATCATAAGAAATCTAACGTAAAACCTTTAAAAACATTCAAAATGTTACCTAAAAGACGATTATAAGCAAAAAGACTATTTTTAACAACATCAATCATCAAAAATTGTTTTCAAAGAGGATTTTTAGCAAAATAGCGGCCGAAACTACTCGTTTTCTGGATTTTCTCTTTTACCGCCTCAATTGCCTTAAGGGCTCAAGACGTATAATAGCCAAAATAAGCCCAAAATTAATATAAAACTAGCTAACTTTTAAAGAATAAGGATCATAAGATATGTAAAAAATAATTTCTATGCAATTTTAGATAACATTTTACACAATTTTGTACAAATTTTAACGTCATCTTTAAATATTAGCTAATTTCGATACCTAAACCTGGAAATAGCCTTCCACAAAAAATTCAAGTTCAAAATATCAAATCATATGATTCAAAGCACCACAATCCGACAAAAAACAAGCTCTTCCCGTTTGTAAACCATAAGGCATGCAAAGAATATTCATCACTATATTCATCATGCTTTATATCGTAAATTTAATAAAATTGAACCTTTATAAACAGCAAGCCATGAAAATAATCAAAATATTAAAATAAGATGTCTACAGAGCTTTAAAGATTAATTTATACAACAAGAAAAAACTTTAAAATCCAATTAAAATTGATTTTTCTTCATTTTAAACCAGCTATACCTACAAAAACCATTTTTTACAAAACACCAACCTAATAAAAATCCCAAAAGCAAGTAAAACCCGCTACAAGACCCCTAACTTCTCCATTACCAGTCAAAGGTCAAAGAAAATCCATTTTTACTCCAAGTGGAATGTTTTTCCGTCTTGGCGGCCCGCGTCCTCACTTCGCCGCGAATTCAAATCACAATTCCTGACGTTCAAGGTCTTTCCCGTCAAAACCGCGTAGTTTTTGGCGTTCCGCAAAAATGTCGCGACTGATTTTTTTGCGGTGAAACTGGGGCAAGATCGTGAAGAAGATTCGCGACGACCTGGTCTAGTTTTACGCTTTCGTAGCCGGCTACAACGTTGACGGTGTAATTTTCAGTGATAAAAGCGCAAGATTGTGAGAAGGTTTTTTGGTATTTTTAGGTTATTTGGGGTTTTGGATAGGGGTATTTGGTGGAAATGGATGGTAACAGATGTAAAATTGCTTTGAGTTATATTATTTGGCAAGGTATATGTTTTGCAGTTTTAAATTTGAAGTTTATTGACATTGTTTTAGCTCAAATGCGACGGATTTGGTTTTTAAAAGAATTGGTGATCTTAATGTAGAAATAAATGGTCTAAATTGAGTTTTAAAAATGTAGGATTTTGTGGGTAATATATTTTTAAAAAGTGCTTTGTTGTAGTTGAAAATATTTGTTTTTAAATTTAATTTTTTTAATATTATTTTAGGTAAAACTGGCATTCCAGATTTTATTCGTTTTTCTTTGCATAGAACGTAAAATTATATATTGTTTTGTTGTTTATGATACATCTTGATATTTATGCGATCACATGGGGCATGCTTGCGAAATTTATGGTTTCTCGATTTATATTTGTGTTGTTTACAATATAAACTACCCAATGAGATTTTGATCTATTTTTTTAGGTATAAATCTGTTTAATTCAAAGTTTTTGAATGCGACTTTAAAAATGATCTTATCAGTATAAAAACATATGATATGCACTGAAAATATCAATTTATTATACAAAAATTAAAGTTCATTCACTGTATATTAATGTAGTCATTTTGTTAATCTTTTTGTTTACAAGGTGAAAAGAGGAATTAATAAAATGACTGTTTCATAACCGCAGGGTTTTAAAATCTTGTTTGAACAGACAATGCGTTCCAATCGCAGCTCTTTTTTTGGAGATTCATGGGTTTCTATTGATTGACACGTGTCTTCAGCCTCAGGGCTTGATTGTCGTTTTTAATAATAGGAACGGGAAGGGGAACGCTTACTTTAAGGTTTGCAAATGGGAAGTAATGTGTTAACGTATAGGGGTCATTAATTCGACTATTTATCTTATTGTTCCTTTTTTATATTCAAAATATTTTTTTTTCGTTTTTCATTTCTTTGTGGCTCTTGGAGATTTGTTGACTATAGATATGTTTTGAAAAACTTATTTAATGAAGGTAATACAGCTTTTTATATTTTAATGCAATTTTTTGAATTTAATTTATTTAAGATTGATTTCATGAATTTTGTATTATACGGTAAGGTTACTGTATTTTTTAATAACACCAAAGTTACGTACGGATAATCTATCCCTCCTGATCTAACCAAAGAAAGCGTCTTTATTACTTATTTTGATTTTATACATAGCTTTTTGTCACATATCGCGATAAATCAACATCAATATCTCGATTGGAATAACGCGTAAATAATTTTCCATCTTAATCATATATAATATTAAATTTTGCTTTTTTAGTTCTATTCAAATAAGGGAATTTCCTGATCATCATATAGCACAATGGCCCCAAAACAAAGAATGAACGTTGCTAACAACGCCTTCAGCAAGAACGTCACTACCAGAGGAAACATTCCAAAGAGTTTGGTAAGGTTTGCTTTTGTGTTGGGATTTTTAGGTAGTTTTTGGTAAATAGAAAGGATATATCTGCTTTTTGAAGTAGGTATATTTTTTAAAAAACTTGTTTTGTCTAGAATATGTTGAGTTACTGAGCAAGGTCTTCTTGTTTTGTCTATTTTTGAATATCAAAGAAATTTTCTGTTTAACTTTTTAAAAGGATTGTTGAAGCATCAAAAGAAGTAATGTTTTGTAAATTTTATGTTGGTAAGTTGATCTTTAAAAAATTTATGGCACATTTGAATAGTTTTGGTCTGATCATCTCCATTAATGAATCTTAAGTCTGTTTTTAAAATATTTTTTAACGATTTTTTATTTTTTACAAGTTTTATCATTTTAGAAATCCCAAACTGACAAGAGCAACACCACCCAATGGCTGGTCGCCCTACTAGTGTTCGTGGTTTGTGGTTCAGCTGTATTTGAGATCATCCGAGCCGTCAAGTCGGGATTCTAATTTACATTAAAAGCTAGCGTCAGCTAGCCAGAAATGTATATAAATTATTTTTCGTAACTTATATACATACAGTAGATATGACACTATGAATTGTGATTACGGTATATTCTTTACTGTATTTTGATAACAACCCCTATTTTGCATGTATTTATGTTAAGAAACCCTGAATAAACGGATAAGTTAACATATATGAGATTTTCACAGTGTTATTTACATAGAAAATGAAAAAAAAATTTTTTAATTTGCATAAATTCAACAGAAATTTCTAAAATTTGAATAAAAACCACTTTTCTTACGTGTAACAAAAGCAAATCGACTTTTCAAACTTTTTTTGTTACTTCAAAACGTACTGGTAGTACCAACAACGTCTCATGGCTTCGTTCGTACCAAATCCGGCTGGTGATTACTACAAACCGTCACATTACAGTGAACCAAGCGAAAAAGGACAGCAATTTTTGAATGTCTTGGGCGCTTTCGAGAACAATGTCAATAGCATCTCTCGGAAACTTGTAAGTGTGATACCTTGTGATGTGTTATAATAGTGGCTTTATCATGTTTTTGATGATAATTCTCTGCCAGATGGACCTATTTTTTATACAAAAATTTTCAAAGTGTATGCAAGGCTTTTAACATGGTCGTGGTAATGTTACTGTAGTTTTTGAATTTATCTAAAACTTTAATGTTTGTTCTGACAGTGTTATAGTCAAATAGTTAACTCTTAATGTCGCCAATTTTCCAAACCTTACCTATCGTTTCAAAAAGGTTATGATTAAAACAAAATTGTTTTTAACTTTCACATTGACTGTAGCCGTGCTGTATTTTTTTTCACGTTTTCACGCTACATAACCTAATAATAGCGATTGTAATTGTGTCGCTTAAAGTCATTGTAAATTTTTTAAACTATGAAACGACGGATACGTTTTTTTTTCTCGTCGCTGACCAGTTTCTGGTGCGCATTTTGTTTGCTTTTGAGGTCAGCGAAGAGCAGGAAGTGCACATTACACTGAATGGTCTAGCTGTGTTTTCGAACTACTTCTGGCTCTTGAACCATAATACAACACTATTTTGTTTTGGGAGTCAAAAGTGTAAAATTTTTCGTAACTATTGTTCAAAATTGAGGATTTTGATCAAAAAATGGTCGTAAAACCAAGATTTTTAAAGAAAAAATTTTAAATTTCTTTTTTTAGAACAGTCCATTAAATCAAATATTTTGAAAAATTTAAATCCTTGAGCTCTTTGATAATTTGAGCCTTAAAAGGGAATCATTATCAGTACTTTATCAAGCGTTACAACTTTTTTGATTAGAAAATACATTTTGTACCTATGTTAATATAAAAATTAATAGCGTTTGCAGTTTGACCAGTAAATAAAAATATGGTCTTGTTTTTTATAAAGAAATATCCTATTCAGATCTTGACTACCTTTTCGTCTATTGAAACCATTCGAAGACGTTGCTTTCTTATGTAAACGTTGGTTAACGTCTACTATAATATTGATTGATCTAACAGAGTCTTCAGTTTTTTTAAGTACAAAAGCTTCATTTTAGTACTTCCGTGTTTTTTTTTAATCTTGTAATCTATATTCCTAACGTACTGAACGATCACTTTTTTTTACAAGGACATCTTTCATCGTATAAAACGACTATTTTATTTGCAACACTTAGGGCGCAGCTTCTCGGGGAACGGGGACGCGTGTTCGGCTTCAGGTTCTGTGCCTTCAACAACGTTTTTAGCCCGTTTTCTACGTGATTATGCGATTGTTTTGATAATATAATCATCTCATTACAATCATCGAATATTTTTGTTGTTTAATTTCTTCTCATACATTAAATTTGGCCTTTATAACATAAAATATTGCTTTATACTGGTTAGGAAGGTTGTTTTGATGTAAATAATGGTGTTTTTGGAAGAGAAAAAGATACTTTATCTTATGATTGTGATTTGTTTTTTTAAATTTTAGGTGTTTTGATTTGTAAAATAATGTTTTTTGGTTTGTTTTAGCCATTGGCTTCAATTAAAAACAAATATCTTTCGATGAAATGCACGTCTATTGTCCAAAAAACCATGTTTCTATACGTTTTTTTGTTTTTTGCATGAAGGGTTTAATCTTTTTCTCTAATGTATTATTCTGTGTGGCGACCCAGTAATTTTTCTCGCTATTTTGACTCGAGAATATGTTATAGTAGGCTAATATATTATTTACAGGGCAGTACTATGGCTTCCTACGGACAGCCACAAAATCAATGGCTGGGATTCGCCGAAGGATACGCTGATGATGTGAGTTTAAACTACTTTTTGTGAATTGTTTTTTAGGTATTACGCAGAGATGAAGCAAAGGGGCATGGGTAAGAGGGTGTATTCGGAAATTGGGTTACTTTTGAGGTTCAAGCTGGGAAATTGGGCTGTTCGTGGATGGAATAGAAAGATTAGATGTTAAGGATGATTTTTGTTTATATTTTTGGAATGTAAAGCTAGGGTAGACTTTCTAGTTTTAGTTTAAAATGGCGTAGGCTATGGAATGATGATTGCATAGAGAACATTGTATAGTTCATAGGTTTTGGAAGAAAATTTTGACTGTATTTTTCTAAGACAGTTAGAGACTACTCTGGAGATTCTTTTTTTAGTTTGAAGCTTTTGATTAAATTCATTTTTGCAGTTACTTCGCCACACAAAGCACTACCTTCCTCATATTGCTCGTTTGTGTTTGGTCTCGACGTTTATCGAAGATGGCTTCCGTATGTGGGCACAATGGGAGGATCAGCGACAGTTTATGCAAGAATCGTGGCATTGCGGATGGTTCTTGGCCACGCTGTTTGTTTTGTTCAACTTCTTTGGCCAGTTCATTCCAGTCGGCATGGTTATGTTGAGAAAGCGGATTGGAATTGCTGTTGCTTTGTTGGGAACTGTGGTCGTGCTACAGACTGTCGCTTACCACATTTTGTGGGATTTGAAGTTTTTGGCCAGGTAAGCAGGGGTGTATTGGTTTAGTTTAGCTTGGTATATTGTTTTAGTTAATTAAACGTGATATTATTTTTTTAAAGCTGACTAACAAAAATATTTTTCAGAAACATTGCCGTAGGTGGTGCCTTGATCCTTTTGGTTGCCGAAACTTTTGAAGAACAAAAGTCGTTGTTCGCTGGAGTACCTCAAATCGGCGATAACAACAAGCCAAAGTCGTGGATGATGTTTGTTGGCCGTGTTTCGCTTGTCTTCATGTTCTTGTCGCTTCTTCATTTTGAATACTCTATTGTCCGAAACGTGAGTATTTCATTTTTTATTGAAAATAATGTACTGCGGTAAGTTGAATGGGTACCTCCTCTCTAGAAAAAACGTTGACAAAAAAAATTTAAATAAAATATTTCATTTTTAGATTGAGCTCGTCGTAGGCATTGTCTTGATGACCTTGACCACCATCGGCTACAAAACTAAGCTCTCAGCTATCGTCCTGGTCATCTGGCTCTTCTGTTTGAACTTGTGGCTTAACGCCTGGTGGAATGTACCCTCGGACAGATTCTTCCGCGACTTCATGAAGTACGACTTCTTCCAAACCATGAGCGTCATTGGAGGCTTGCTGTTGGTCATTTATTACGGTCCCGGAGGCGTTTCAGTCGATGATTACAAGAAGCGCTGGTAGATGGCCGAATTCAATTACTCGGCTTCTAATAAAACTTGTTATTAGTGTTTATTACTTTGGGTTTTACATTGTAATTTGGTCTTCTTGAAGGATATTGTTTTTATTTTTTGGCTTTTTAGGAAAATCTTGCTTTTTAAAAAAGGTTTTTTTTTGGCTGTATGACATATTTTTCAGTTTGAAAGAACATTTTTCTTTGTTAGAAGTGATTTCTATGTTATAATGATAAGGCTTGCTTTAGAAAAGCTGATTTTTACCTTTTTTTGGCTTTTGGAAGCAGAAATTGTATTTTAAAGTTTGATTTTAAGTTTTTCGAGGTCATTTTGTCATATTTTTGCAATTGAAACGTGTTTAGTATGTATTTTTAAATGAATTATCATGTTTTTCAATTGTTAATAGTGACTCTGTCTCTTTAAGCTTAATGATAACCTTATCTATATTGAAGCTTCAAATTAACCTTTTAGGAAGCCCATAACCAAATGATTGTATTACCGTAAAACCCAGTACAATGTAACCTGATTGTCCGCGTGCTTAACCTTGTCTTTTCCAAAAATTCAATTTCGTATTTTTAAAATTGAGAACGTATCCACTATCATAGATCATTATATCACTAGAACTAGACCCTTTTAACCCTAGTCTGTCTAAATTTTTAACTTTTTCCAACACTCGTGTTGTATTGTGCATAAACATGAGTTTTATTTATTGGATGAAATAAATTATTTGAAATTGAAGTTGGATGTTATTTTAGCGCGGTATTTGATGAATAAGTATGTAGGTATAAAATGTTGGATCAAAAACAAAATAGAAGAAAGGAATGCGGTCGAAAAGTTTGTAGAAAAAACTGATTTTAATGATAATTCTCAATACATTGAACTCTTGTTTTACTGGTAAACTGTAATGTGAAAAATGATTAAAAAAGCTACTGCAACCCGCGGAATCACCGGTCAACTCGCGGCCGAGTTTATCTTTGTTTATTTTGTTTTGAGAACGAAATATAGTTGAAATATGTTGTTTCATGCTTGAATAAGGTTTGTTTTAATTAAATAAGGATCTTTTTAGTATTTGTTATATTATCATTACGGAAACCATCTTTCTGTCATTGATTATGATCAGTTTTCAAGACAAAAACCAGGTTGACGTATCGAAAATACGTTTTTTGGCCATGAACCGCGATTTTTTGGCCATTTAACTTTGGAAATAAATAAACGTTGATCGTGACGTCTTTCTTGATATGTATTTGAGATTTGTAGATAGATATACTTTGTTTTTTTAAGTATATTATAGTAGATATTTTTTTAGATTACCTCGAAATGGAGGACTCTGTTATAAACGAAAATGGAGACTGGGTAATTGTTAACGAAGAATCAAATCTTATTGGAAATGGATCAAGATCAGTTGTTGTAATTAGAAAAGAACGTAATGGAGTTGAACATGTTATTGTAGATGAACAAAGTGCAATTGCAAATGAAGAAAACGCAAATAACAAGGAAATTGAAGCTAAAATGAATGGGAATCCAGATGTAGATGGACAAGGTGAAATTGTTTATGTTGAAGCGGTTGATGAAGTGGTAGCTGAAGTTGTGAAGAAAATGGATGAAATTTCTATTCCAGAGGAGCAGAGTGACAATGTTGTTGCAGAAGGTGAACTGATTGACGGAGAAGCGGGTGCTGATGAAGGAGGAAAGGTTGACGGTGATCAAGAAATTAGGCAGGGTGCCACGGAAGAAGTAACAGCACGAGAAGATGATCTACAAGCTGAAACTGGGAATGATGTTGAGGTAGATGGAGAAATAATGGAAGAAGAAAATGAAGTCGATAATTTATGGAAAGTGAGTTGAAATTTCTGTGAACTTATGTGATTAGTATTGTAGTATACTATAATAGTATCTTAAATTTACAATAGTTATGGTTTTACGTTTCACTTTTAACTACTTTTCTTAAAAATTTATTACAAAAACTAATTTTCTTGTTTTTTCTTTAATCTTTGACTGTTATTAGCCATTTTTTTCAGGAATATACGGCAAAACAGCACTCAAATGCTGAATGGAACGTTATTAACCAAGGCTTGATTATGGTCATTGATGAACGCACTTCAGAGCTTTCCTTTGATGAACTTTATCTGGGAGTTTCTCGTTTGATCAGCAATGATCAAGGAAGAATTGTGTATCAAGGTGTACAGGACTTGTTGACTGCTTATATTAAAAATGTAAGTATATTGTGGTAGTTTAAATGTTTTTATTTTTTAAAAATTGAAATTTTGTTGAATTTTTATCTGAAAAACTTAAATTTGATTTTTCTTGTGGATTTTAGGTAATAAAATTGAAAAAAAGGGTTAATTTTAATGATATTTTGGCTTTAAAAATGTATTTTCTTTTACTATTTTAAATATTTTCACCTAAATTACCCAATTTTTAGCTAAAATAATTCTTTTTATCTTTTTAGCTCAAAGCTCGCCTTCTGAAACGCGTCGGTCTTAACAATTACACGGAGTGTCTGAAGAACGTGCAACGTCAATTCAACGACGCAGTAAACAACATTGACGGCATCTTGATGTACATGAATAACTATTACTTGCCTAAAATTGGTAAACCGAAGTCGACTGTGATTGCACGGACTCTGTATCGTGAAACGTTTTTTGAGGACGACGTTGTGGCACGGTTCTTGAAGGTAAGTGACGTTGGAAGGGTTTGGGGTAATGGAATTGTGACAGAGATGGTTGATTTGTATTTATGGAGGTACAGGCAATGGTTGGGAGTTGATTTTGGTATAGGCAGGGGGAAGGGTAAATTTTTTTTTGAAAAACAGCAGAGGAGCACGTTAAACTTTTACTTTTTGGATAAAATATTACTAAAAACACTGTAACTTTATAAAAATAATAATAATTTGGTTTCAGACCAGAGTAAAGAAGCTAGCTCGCAAAGGAATCTCGAAAAACATTGATGAAATCATCGACATATTCGGCTTGTTATTGGACATCTACGAGTACAAGAGTCGAGTCCTGCAGAACGATTACCTAAACGTGTTTTTGGATAATGTGAGTGACAAGTACACAAAGTTGGAAGGAGATCTCCAAGCGACTGATCTTGTCTATGATTACGCGAAAAAGGTGAATGAACTCATGGATGATGGAGCTATGGTCTCGGACCGGCTTATTGGCCTGAATCATGATTTCGGAGAGAAGGTGAAGGAGGTAAGGGTGGTTTTTGAGGGGTTTCTTTTAGCAGAAGCATGGGTTCATTGAATATTACATTACTATCTTTTAACAGAAGCTTGGGCCAGAGAAATTCAGTTAACTATCAAATTACTATTATAAATGGTTTTCTATCATTTATTGTTACGCAGCTATACTATAACACATTTTAAACCATCTTTTGTCACAACTTTTTTATTTTTACATTTAAAACCTTCAGATTTTTTGTAAAAAGCTTCTGGAGCCCTCTATCAATCGTATCCTGAACGCCAATCATGGTGTAGATTGGATGATAATGAAGGACGAAAAGGAGCGACTGATCGAAGTGTACAAGGTCTGTAATAGGGCACCAAATGGACTAAAAGCGTTGGCTAACAAAATCAGTGTTTACTTAAGGAACAGAGGCGCCGAAATGTATCAGGACCTTTGTAATTTTGATGAAATCGAGTATTTCCAGGTGGGTAATGACCTTTTTGCAATTTTACAGTAAAGAGATTGTATCTGGCTATAGGAAACTTAAAGGATTAGGTGTAATTTTATATTTAAAAGCTAAAATAAGTCGACTTACTATTACATTTTCAGCAGCTGTTTGGCTTGAAAGATGCTATTCAGGAGTACGTCTTTACCTGCTTCAACAACAACGACGTTATCTCGGCTCACATCCTCGAGGACTTTTCTTTCTTGAATAACCTGCTTCAAGAGATTTCGGGATAATCTCTGTAAATGTTTCAACCCAAAAAGGGTCTTTTTTCAAAAATTTTTATTTTCCGAATCTCAGTACGATATCGTTAACAGTTTTAACCCGAAACGGGTAACTTAAAGATTACAGATTTGTGTTATGCTCAATAAAGTTGTACAGTATTTATTGATGATAAAACGAGTTGATTTTTATTAGGTTCTTCATTTAGTTCGCGCCCTTCCCAAGCCGGGCGTAAACAAAATGTTTTGACTTAAGACAGTTTCTGAATCAAAATAAGTATTATCAGTTCTTTTATTAAAACTTTTGTTTTTTATGACTTCAGAATCCAGGGCTTGTCGAAGCTTTTAATTTAATTTTGTTTTATGAGACGTCGCAGTTAACAAGGAATGGTCTGCTTGGGCATTGTTGGACCCAGGTAACGGCACGGAATTGAAACCTCTTGTGTCTGGCAGGTCACGGAAAATTGTCAGTGCCATGACCTGTGTCCAAGCCGGCCCAAAAAGAAGGTCAAACAATTCTACATAGAAAACCAGGAAGGAGAGTCATATATTGATACGGGAGTAAAGATAGTGATACGGAGACGAATGCTTCCGACTTGTGCCTTAGCTAGAAACTTGTCAACGCTCAGCTGTTGGAAGTTGAGTTTGCTTACTTCTGTAATTATTTCGACAAATCGACCTGCGTTTTTCCAAGTATTTCGAAAGTATATAAACGAATATTGAACGTTCACTTCTAATGGAAATTCGGGATACTGGGCCATAAGTTCCGAAAGTTGTTGTAGTTGACGCATAAGCTGGGACACGTGTGCGGCAGGTTCACTATTCTCTAAAGGTATTTAAACTTTTTAACAGGTTTTATAATAACAAAAAACTTCTTCAGATAAAAAATTACCAAAAAACACCGTAAATCTTCATAATCTACAAAAAAAAACAAATCTTTTTAAATTTTGAAATTTTTTACGTTCATTTACATATTTACTATAACATATATTCTTAAACTAACTACTACCCCTGTACGGCAAACGAACTTTTTCAACAATTAGGTCATTTAAATGATTTTGTGCCCCTCTAGCAAAATTCTGTGCTCTTCTCAAAGCGAGCATTGGCCGACTTTTTAAAGCCACAAAGCTATAATAGTTATTTTAAAAGCTACTTACCATAGCAATGTTCAAAAATAACAAAATTTTTCAGATTCGGAAAACCGTTATTGTAGTTGGCACAAAACGATAAAAATTCTTGAATTTTATTTTCTTTAAGAAGCCACCGGACCTCAAGTTCCTCGATGGTTTCATGTTGTAGATCATTTTGTACAAACGGGAGTAAAACGTCTATTGGACAAGAAAGGTGTTTCATCTGAATCTCAGCCAACGCTTTCGGATCTGCAAGAATGTCATATAATGCATGTTATCTTAACTATGATCACAAAGTTGAATATTCTCTGTAAACGCGGGGTGTTGTCGTTTTGTGGATGGGGAGAGGATTTTTTTGTGAAGAAAGATAGGATTTCTACGAGGTTAAAGGATATAATAATACTACACTTCTCGCTTTTATATATTGTATATATCTTTTACCGCATTGTGTAAAATGTCTCTACTGCACCTGTGTACCGACGTGTAAGGGGAACATCAAACAATGTTTTGAAAAAAAATACGAAAATTTTTATGGGTTCTATCCTCTGCCATCCCCTTCGCTCTTCTGAATATGGGCTCCACTTTTGACATGGTAACACTTACAGATATTGTGCTTATTCTCAGTCCAATGACGTCTGTACAATACCTTGTCAACCTTCCAGTAACTAAAAAAGTAAATTTGTCGATAGTGCCACACAGTTAAATTAATTCGTTGATATCTCAACATTTCTGCCAAAACTTTCCATTGTAAAAAGTCAGGACTACAGTCGAGATCGATAGTAGCATCAGGGAAGTCTGAAAATTGAAATGTTTTCAACTAAAAGTGTCTCGAGACTTTTGATTTACCCTAATAAATAATGATAGAGCAGCGTTATTAAATCCGGACAGATGGGAAAACTGACTTTTCCTTTGGTGCCCTACTACTGCAAGACCACTCAGAAGACCAAGAACGCGTTTTTCTGACGCTCTTACGAAAACTGCAGGCTCCGATTGGACTAACACCACCCAATCCCGTTGGAACGATCTTCGCACCATATTCACCTCAGTATCACTTTGAGAAATAAATGAATAAATCTAATTTGAATTGAAATGAGAGCAGCGTGGGGACTCGTAGCCATTTAGTGTCTTACCTTGCAATATTGATGCTATTCGTTGTAACTTTTTAATGTTCATGTTTTCTCTTAAATCCAGTATGAAGTTCTTTAGGTTCATTAGATTAAAAAGAACTTTAAGTTGGTCCACGTTTTGAAAGAAATGAAGGAATATGCTTTTGGAACTATGATAATTTAATAAACCGTGATCTGGACTCAAAAAATGCATTGTCTTGCACTTTTCCTGAATCACGTTTTTGTAACGTGTCGAAACGGCCTAAAAAACAAAAATTAAAATGCGATTGTGGCATGGAAGGATTAGAGTTCAAATTAAACTCACAAGCATTGTTTTTCCCAGTCCGGTCTGGAGCGTTTTCCACCGGTCCGGCGATTTTCGGGTCCGGTTCACAAAAATTTTTGTTTCGGTCCGTCCGGACAGGACTAGTCCGCGGACCGGACCGGCAAAACACTGCTCACGAGGAAGGCGCCCGACTTGTTTTGCTCGGACTAACTCCCAACTCTTTAAATAAAGGGATGATGCAAATATAAGATCTGCAGCAAAGTACTAATTTGCGTTTCCTAAGAAAACCGAGATCAAAAAATGATTTGAATTTCCCGCCAAATGGGCATTGTGTTTCAAGCTCACCACTTTGTCATCTTTTGACTTTTAATTATTTTTCTTTGATATAATACTACAAAGCCGTTAATGAGCATGTATATTTAAATTTGTCAGCGTAGCTTGCCAGGAACTTCCAAAAAGGGTTTAAAACACAGTGCCAAATTTGCCCCTTGGGCGGCAAACTCAAATATTTAAATTTTAAAACTTAAAAACACGACTTAATTTTTCTTGCGGACACTATTGGTAGTACAAAAATAATTATAAAGATTTTGGGTTGATTCTGTTCCGGGAAGGTCGAGCAACTTCGTTTTCATTTACCAATCCCGTACTAACGATATTAAAGTATTTTCCCTAATAAGCAATCAAAATTATGACTATATACTTTACATTATCTTTTTCAAGTTTTATCAACTTACAAGCGGTACTATTTTCCTTACGGGTTCTTTAAAATAGTGGTCCATAAAGCAGGCAATACATTCGTTGGTGAGCTGAGCCATGGTGAAGATAAATTAGAGACTAATGAAAAGTCAAGTTGTTTATAAGCTAAACAATTCGTGAATGACTTGTACGGCATAAAATATCTTGGTATATGATGTATACAAACAGACGTCTTATATTAAAAAAGGCGGGCCTAATTTCTGATATTCTAGACTAACATATTTATGACGTCAACAAAGAAAATAGGGTTGCTTATTCGTATTATAATATTGGTTTGATACAAAAATTTTTGCCAGGGGGACGCCTCATTCAAATGAAGTAGAATGTCTGTTTCTTACGTCAAATGATTGCGCAATTGGCCGGATGCTAGAGTGAGATGGAAGCATTGGCTGAGATTCAAATCGAATGCCGTTGTCGTTCAATAAAAGTTTTACTTTTAAACAAACTTTAATTTTAAAAATATCTTATTATACTGAAGAAAACAATATTAGTTAATGATATGAATATTGCATTCTTTATACATATAAAACAAGGTAATACATTTCGTCGTATCCTGGATATAAAGCAAGAAAAACATCTCATTGTATGTTGGATATACAAAAAGGTAATACTAATGGTCGTATCTTGGATCTATTGTTTAAATAATTTTAATTTTATTAAGGACCTACTTATGATTCTATAATACAAAGTAGTAAAACTCATTATACTACCTCGTTAATTTACTTTATACTTTTGTTATAAGACACTTTTTTAAGGTATAACTAGACCTAGAGGGGCCCTTTAGGTCTAGACATGTGAAACGGGCCGGACCCATTTTTCAGACCCGGCCCTATAATATAGCTATAGTATAACATTTTAAACCAGTTGTGCTACAACTTTTAATTTTTAACGCGTAATTTTATATGTTAAAAGACAAAATATTCGACTTACTATTACGTTTTCAGCAACTGTTCAGCTTGAAAGATGCTATTAAGGAGTACGTCCTTACCTGCTTCAACAACAACGACGTAATCTTGGCCCACATCCTCGAGTTGAATAAACCGAGCTTTTAGAATGATCTCTGTAAAAGTTTCAACCCTTCAAAAATTTTAATTTTCAGAATCTCAGAGCAAATATATTAACAGTTTTAACCCGAAACGGGTACTTTAAAGACTATTGATTTGTGTTATGCTCAATAAAGTTGTACAGTATTTATTGATCGTAAAATGAGTTGATTTTTAGTAGGTTCTTTATTTAGCTTCAGAATTACTTTATTTGTCTTATGACTTCATAATCCAGGGTTTTGTAGAAGTATTTAAGGTTTTTTATGAGACGTCGCAGTTAACAAGGAATGGTCATGTTAAGCAGTCCTAGACAACGAGGAAGAAGAGACCAGATATGCTACAGGTGTACTGATAGTGAAACGAAGGCGAATGCTTCCGACTCGTGTGTCAGCTAGAAACTTGTCAACGCTCAGCCGTTGGAAGTTGAGCTTGCTGGCTTCTATGATTGTTTCGATAAATCGGTCTGCTTCTTTCCAAGTACCTCTAAAGTATCGAAATGAATATCGAAAGTACACTTCTAATGGAAATTCGGGATATTGGGCCATAAGTTCCGAAAGTTGTTGCGCTTGGAACATAAGCTGGGACACATGTCTGACAGGATCACTGTTTTCTAAAGTTATTTTTTAACAGGTTGTATAGTAACAAAAAACTAAAAAATTTTTCAACAAAAATAATACAAAAAATACGAAGGAAACGTAAATCATAACATAATCCTTCAGTAACCCAAACTTTTTTAAATTTTGCAAACTCTTACGTTTCTTTACCTATTTAATGGTATATACATATGTTCTTAGATTAGCTACTACCTCTGTACAGAAAATGAAGGTTTTCAACAATTAGGTTGTTCAAATAATTCTGTGTTCCTCACAAAGCAAAATTCTATGCTTTTCTCAAAGCATTTTTTTGGTTTTAGGGACACAAGGTTATTTGAACAACTTACAAGGAAAGCGCCCGACCTGCCCCGCTCTGATTGACTTCAAACTTTTTATAAAAAAAGATCATGTAGAGATAAGATGTTCAGCAAAGTACTAAATCGCGCTTTCCAGGAAATCTCGAGAAAATCGAGATTAAAAAATGACATTTTGAATTTTCCGCCAACTTGGCATTGTGTTTCAAGCTTGTAACTTTGTTATTTTTTGACTTTTAATAATTTTTCTTTGATATACTCGTAAAAAACCTTTAAATGAATCTACATTTTTAAATTTGTAAGCGTATCTTGTCTGGAAAGCCAAAAAAAGTGCTTGAAAAACAATGCCAAATTTGCCAAATTGGCGGGAAACCCAAATAATTTAAATTTAAAACTCAAAAGCGCGAGCTAACATTTTTTATGGGTACTATTGACGGTACAAAGAATTCATATAAAAAATTGAGCTCATTCTGAGCGGGGCAGGTAGGGTACTTTCCTTGTTAATACTTTGAATCTCTTCAACACCTACGTCTAAGCCTTGGCCGACTTTTTTTTAAATAAAAGCTTCTTATGGCGGTAATGTTCGGAAACAACAAACTTTTCCAGTTTCGGAAAAGAGTTATTGTAGTTGGCACAAAACAATGAAAATTCTTGAATTCTATCTTCATAAAGGAGCCACGGAACCTCAAGTTCCTCGACGGTTTCATGTTGATGATTATGTTGTACAAACGAGAGTAGGACGTCTATTGGACAAGAAAGGCATTTCATCTGAATATCAGCCAATGCTTTCGAATCTGCAAGAATGTAATATAATGGATTTTATCTTAACTATGATCTTAAAAGATGTATTCTCTGTAAACACGGGGTGGAGCCTCTCCAATCCCCTCCGCCCTTTTGAATCTCGGCTTTACTTTTGACTTGTTATGGTAACACTTACAGAAATTGTACTTATCTTCAGCCCAATTAGGATCATACACAAACTTGTCAATCTTACAATAACTAAACAAGTATATTTGTCTACAGTACCACACAGTTGGAGTAATTCGTTGGTATCTTAACATTCCTGCCAATGCTTTCCATTCTGTAAATTCAGGTCTACAGTTGAGTTCGATAGTGGCATCAGGGAAGTCTGAAAATTAAAATATTTTTAAATCAACGTGTCCCGCGTCTTTTGATTCAACCTAAAAATAAAGGCAGAGGAGCATGGAAACTCGAAGTTAATGAGTGTCTTACCTTTCAGTATTGATACTAATTGTTGTAACCATTTAATGTTCCCATTTCCTCTTAAGTCTAAGTTGAAGTTCCTTGGGTTTATTAAATAAAAAAAATTTTAAGCTGGTCCACGTTTTGAGCGAAATCAAGGAATATGCTTTTGGAACGATGGTAACGCAATAAACAGAGACTTGGCCACGAAAAACATAATGTCTTGCACTTTTCCCGAATCATGTTTTTGTAACGTGTCGCAACGGCCTGGAAAACGAAGGTTAAAATGTGAGTGTGGTATGGAAGAAGGGATTTAAAGCAGGTTGATCCCGAATTGGGAAATTGAATTGGAGACCAATTGTTTGACGTTTTTTTGCAAAAAAAATTAAAATCGAACTTTTCTAATTTTTGAAACAAAACACCAATGATTTTCGAGGATCCTCTGTGGTCCTTTGAAATATTTTCTTTAATAAGCAAACAAAAACTTTACTATATACTTTACATTATTCTTTTCAATATTTATCAACTTACAAGCAATACTATTTTCTTCACAGGTCGTCTAAAATAGTGGTCTGTAAAGCAGGCCATACATCCGTTGGTGAGCTGAGCCATGGTGAAGATAATTAGACACTAATGAAAAGCAGACAGGATTAAAATATCTTGGTATATTATTTGTACAAACAGACGCCTTATATTAAAAAAGGCGGGTCTAATTGCTGAGCTTCTGGACGAACATATTTATGACGTCAACAAAGACCTAATTATTACGAGGAGGGTACCTCATTCAAATGAAGCAGCTTTTCTGTGTCTTACGTCAAATCATTGCGCAAGTAGCCGGATGCTAGATTTGGTTGAGATTCAAATTAAATGCCGTTGTCCTTTAATAGACGTTTTACATTTATACAAACTTTATTTTGAAAATATTTTACTATATTGAAGAAAACAATATTAGTTATTGATATGAATATTGAGTTCTTTATATATAACAAGGTAATACATCTCAAATTATCTTGGATCTATTTCTTCCTCCTGATTTAGCAGAAGGTCTTCTTTTGTTTTTTGAGTTCAATAACATGAACTCGAGTTGTTGGTCGATTGTAGACAGTTACTGTCGCAGTAAGATGTATTGGAGTGGAGGAGATGTCACTTTCTTTGCTCAGTAGACATTTTATTGACACTCGAATTTCTCTGAAATCAATTTTATTAAGGTTCTACTTATGATACTATTATACAATGTAATACTATCTTATTACTTTACTTTAAGCTTTTGTTTTAAGACGCTTTACAGACTGGAAGAACTTCTAGGGTCTAGTTTTAGACTCGGTCCGGCCCAGCAACTTTGAAAAAGACCTGGCCGAGGCGATAATGTGGGCCTCAGAGGCCCAATTTAAATCCCACAACGAAAGATTTGAATTGTTGATAAAAACGTTTATAACTTCTTACCGGTTAACTAATATAGTAATAAAAGCTGGATGTATGACAATCAAAACCCATTCCAAGTTGATTAGTTGAGATTGGAATGGCACACTCGATGGTATAAAATGGTACCCGTACATGTTCAATATAATCATCACAAACTGAACCGTGTTTTGAATAAGATATCGTAGCTCATAAGCTTTGATTCTCGACTGGTCTAGTCCACGACGTCGCTAAAATATAAAATTTTTAAAAAAGAAATGTTAAGTTCAAAAAAGAATGGCAGTTTTACGAATTTTATTAGAACCTACCCTTATGACCATCATGACAAACATGACTATTGTAGCCACAACTCCGACGAATAGTTGTGCCATTTTACAATAATATAACACGTAGATTATTTTACTATTCGAAGCATTGCCAATTGATACCCAACCACACTCGTCTAGCTGTAAATGGAATTTGTCACCGCCGATCTGGTACCCAATAGTGTAAAGTACTCCGCCTATCCAGCATATTGTTAACATTGGCTGAAATAAAAAGTAGATAGATGGTTTTAAAAGTCCGTGGAGATACTATATGTAGTAACATTTTTTGACTTGTTCAAATAAATAAAAAACGTTTTGAAAAAAAAAGAAGAATAAAATAAAACCTACATCAATATAATATTTAGGAGCTGTTTCCACCTTGATAACGTTACTTCTGATGAACCAAACTCGTTCAAGAACGAATAAGGGTGCATTAAGAGTAAAGCGGCCCAACTGGCTTCTAGTACCATACTGTGAACCTAAACAAAATATTAAAAATTAGATTTTTTGAAACTGGAAAAATGTTCAAAAATTATTTTAAAAAACTTAGAATCAAAGCCATAAGCATAAAATACTTACAAAATTAAGTAGAGGATTCATTTCGATCCTCAACATAAGGTAAATTGATCCAAAAGCTAGAAAAAAAGCATTGTAACAGCTCGCAGATGGTCAAGGATAACATCATACGTAAGGCTGAACGACGGCGCATGTGAGGTATTCTAATTAAAGCCTAAATTATAACAAAAGAATTAAATTCTTAACTTAACTTTAAAAAAAATAATTTTTTTTTGATATTACTTTTGGTTTTAATATGATATACGAAATAAAATAAAAAAATTTCAAAAAAATTAAAATTTTTTTAAAAATTTAAACTAAAGTAGGCTATTCCAAACTATCTATAAAAACATACGATTAGTACTACAATATGAAATGGCAATGTTATAATGCACGGCACCGCATATACCAAGCCAGACCAGAACTGCTCGGTCTTCGAGTAGGGCATGGGTTACATAGAGTCACTCTGTAAACAAATTATTTTTTGTATTTTACTAACAAGTTTTGGAAATGCAAATTAATTACCCGACAATTAATATTTAATATCAAAATTAAAAATTTGAAGATTAATGACATGCACTGATATTGTGCATAATAAATAGGTGTCGGGAAATAAAATATAAAAAAGTAGATGTTAACGAACAACTAAAAACAAAATAGCTTTTTTTAGCATTAATAGTAGAAGGGTCAAACACAATGTAGGATAAGGTAAAATTAGAAAATATCTAAAACAAGTTAGAGAGTAGGGTAATTCTTGGTTTAGGCAAAGGAAAGACTAAAAAATGTAGTGCTATCCTTGGAAGAAGCTAAAAAGTAAATTTTAAAGAAGAAAATGGCAAAGGTAGTGTAAGGTATAAATGTGTAATAATAAGATAAGGTAAGTCAAGGCAAGTTAGAATAAAATAAAGTAGGGTAGAACAAGGTAGGGTCAATTAAGCTAAGGTGGATTAGGTTACGGTAGAGTGGGGTAAAGAGGGATGTAAGCTTGGATAGGGTAGGGCAGGGTAGAGTGGGGTAAAGAGGCATGTAAGCTTGGATAGGGTAGGGTAGGGTAGGGTAGGGTAGGGTAGGGTAGGGTAGGGTAGGTTAGGGTAGGGTAGGGTTGGGTAGGGTAAGATAGGGTGTTAAACTTTAAAAATTAAACATAACCGAACCAGGAAACCCCCATTTATATATTAGAAACAGACCTAATGTGTAAATATTTCAATGACTTTTGTGTAAATTAAGTTATAACTTTTTATTGCCTACACAATTTAGTTAGCCCCTTCCTGGAAGTTGTGACAGTTAGAAACATGTCTTGTCACAGTTATATTTTAAAAGAAATTAGTCATCGTACCTAAAACTATAGCTTGAACCGGAGAACAACATTATTATTGTTTTACATAATCAACATTAACGTGGCTTTATTCACATATATATCTCCACCTCAAAATATCTTTAATTTTAACATAGTTAAATAGTCAAACATAGTAACTGTGATGTAATAAAAATATGGTTGAAAACAAGTTTTGGCCTTACCATAACAAACAATATAATATAACTTACATATAAATGTACGAACTGTAAGTGGAGTAGAGTAATGTAACGAAATTAAGAATTGATTACAAAACAAAATTTAAAAATAGAAAGAAGTAATAACAAAGTTAATATCAATTACAATTCGAGAAGTACACGTTTGTATTTTCTGCTTTTTATTTAGTTGTTGAATAGATTTTTACTCTAGACTTGCAGTTGACTTTGTCATCTACGTGGTTAAATACGTATATGTGTTGTCTAGATAAGTCTTTTAAATTATTCTATATAGAAGTTGGTAAAATACGATCTTAATATGAGCGTGCTTCAAAAATTATTTTGTATTCAGGGCCGGTCGCGAGGAGTCGCACTATCCAAGTAAGTTTTGATAAACGTTCTATTACAAAGGGCGGTTAGAAGGCTGTTATTATAAAGAGGTCATCATATGGAATACTTTATACTATTACAAACCACATGAACTTATTGTTCACAACAAACACGAGTACAAGCTCAGTACGTTCTTTGGCAATGACATATTATTATGTGAAAGGTTTTTTAAAAACATTTAAAAAGGAAATATACCGTGCGAAAAAACGAAAATGTGACTAAGTTACCAGCTTTATCTTATAAAGAATATGTATGTAGATTCCCTTATATGTACAAATAAAATTTTAACAACAGCGTTATAATTTATAAGTAAATGAAGTGACATAGCCAAGAAACAATACAGTGAAAACCCTGTAATATAACTCTTGATAGTGTGACACTCTCTTTATAATGGCAACTTCTTAATCGCCTTTTAATATATTGTGTTGTTCAAATAATTCAGTGCCCTCTAACTTCAAAAAACTTGCTTTGAAAGAGAGCACAGAATTATTTAAACAACCTAATAGAACTTCTATCAAAAAGTATTTGAATAGTATAACAACCTGGTTATAAGAACAGGTTTAGACCAGTCCCTTGAGTGTCATACTAAAGAGGTTAGACTGTACCAAATTCTATAGAATAAAAATTCAATAAGATGCTAAATCATGCGACATAGCAGCATATAATGTACAATAACAAAACACATGCTTATCTATCATTGTCTCGAGGCTAACTATGAATTTAGATGTCAAATAAGTGTATTTACATAAAGTTATTCTAAAGTTAATTTATGTTTTTAATACAGTATTGATATAATCAAAAGTTACATTGTCTGTAAAGTGTAACAGAGTTTGCGTTACAAATAATAGGTTTATGATTGATAAGCTTTTTGTGACCTTAAAAACTATAAAAGCTATGTATAAGTATGTACTGTACCTGAAAGGAAGCTTACTAAGCCTAAATGCACTAAGCCAAGCTAAATCAAATTTGATAGAAGCCGCTCCGGCACACGTAGACTCGTGGAGCAAGGCTCAAACCAAAACCTAGCCCGGTTCTTGTACGAGACCCAAAACTCAAAATTACTTTGCTCAATTACCCTACAATTTCCATAACTTGCAAAATGTTAAAATGAAACGTATGATACTAAAGCGTAAAACTTGTTATATTAAGAGTGTGCAAAATCTGATACTATGGACCTAATGCACATCGTGATACTTCTTTTGTAGCTTATCATTTCAAAAAGTTGTAACGCAAACAAAAATAACTCATTTTAACTACAATGTACATCAAATAGTAAATGTTTACTACATACGTAGTTTTAATTGTAGACGCTTGAATATGTAAAGTCAATAAATTAAACCATAGTATAGAGGTATTAATTACTACCCAAAAACTAAAAAAAACTCTTTTTTTCACTTAGATCTCAAAAATAAAAACGTGGTATACAGTGGCAAGTTCAGTATGATTTTACTGTTATAATATGTATTTTGTAATTTCACAAAACATACTATAATAGGTACAACAACTATATTTTTATAAAATCAAAATCGTGGTTTGTAACTACTGCTTAATGTATCACAACATAAAAAATAGCAAACTTTCATATGTATTTGAAAGCTAGTTAAGATTGTAGTTTTTCTTTTGAATTTAATCCAAAAATACTTTACATAAGATATAGGTTGTCATTGGACTCTACAGTACAAAGTTACAAAAAAAAGTAAGAAAAGGGTATATGCCCAACCCTACTGCAACCTTTTACTTTGTATTGTACCACCCCAACATGTAAGCTTTTATACCCACCAGTACGTTTCAAAACAACACAATAAACGTGGTTAACATTTAAGAACTCACAATAAAAAATATTTGCACAGGGTTCAGTTTGAGAGGCTTTTACTATTAATTAAAACCAAAAACGTGCAACAGAGTAGTCTTTGCAGTACTGTTTGTTTTGATTCAAAGTATTCACTACAGAAGTCAGAAATCGACTCAAAGTACTAAAAATTGTAAAAAGTTAAAGTAAGGTAATTGAAGTAGTAAAATAAGGTAGGGTAAAGTTGAGTATATAGATCAATAATAAGGCTAGTATGAGACTGCGGGAGGGGTGAAGCAAAGAACAGATTAGGAAAAATAGCAAAACGACTGGGTTAGGATAAAGTCAGAAAAAGAATAGAGTAGTATATATATACAATTAAAATAGGTCTAGGATGAAAATAAGGTAATTCTAACATAAAGCAACGTTGAGGTAGTGTATGTAGAGCTATATTAAGGCTAGAACAAGAATAAGATAGGGTTAAGGCAAATCAAAGATAAGAGAGTGTAATAAATGAGTAAAGAAACTGTGAAGCTGGCTAGAGTAGAGAAATAGAACATTAGGATATATCAAAGGTAGAGAAAAGATAAGGCAAGAAAAATTAATCAATTTGTTCAAAAAGTAATGAGCTCCTGAATTTCTAATATTATTATTTGTTATTTTAAAAGTGGAGTATTTGTTAACGAAGGGTATGGAAACAAAAGGCAATGGTGTGCTAGAGTAACACGAATTAACAAAGAAGTTTAAAAAATAATTTTTGATTTTTAATAATTTGTTTTTTTTTGAATTTAGATGAAACACGTTTTTTTATAATACTTTGAATCTTTAGTTTTTCAAAGATTTTCTGTAAATTCTTTATTTTATAGTAATCTGTTAATAGTGAAGCGATGTCGCGTAAAAGAGCTGTTTTAATGAAAAAGCAAAGGAAATAAACAGGCTTTTCAACAAGGAGCACCTCAGGCTACCTTCTTTTCGATTTCTTTTATAAAACAAAGTTTGTTCAACTACCTTCTAAAGACATTTTTTATCTACATTAACATTGCTTTCTTAAAATATTTGACTTGACTTTTATTATTAATTTTCGTGATTTTGACTATTTTTTATTACTTACCTATGTCAATATGACATTTTCAGTAGTAGACTAGTATAATAGACTAAATTTGCTATTGTTTGTATTACTTTTACATTACTTTTTATTACTTTCACTCTACTTTCTACCACGTTTTACATTTTTTTCAATTTTATCATTTCAAAACCTCAAAATCAACCATAAAAAGTCAAGTTATGGCCAGATCAAAGTATCACTCATACATTTTAATAGCAAAAATGATCACTTCACTCTACTTATTAATAGTATCTGCTAAGATATTCAAACTGATCTTCGGTGAACATGTCTTGGATGTAGTTGAGTGCAGATGGAAGAGTTTCAATTGGCGTGGGTATTCGTACGGCATGGTACGGTATGAACATGATAGGAATGGATGGGTAGGTAGTAGTTTGGTTAAAAATTAGGCTGTTCATTTAATGTTGTGCTTTTTCTAAGAAAATTAATAAAAAATCACAAAATTTCAAATAATTTTTAGGGGGCGCAGGATTAAGTGAACGGCCCAATATTAATTGTTTTAAAAGATAAATACTAATTGATATGTGATTAATTGATGTAAATAATAATTGATACTACTATCTTCAGGACTACTTTTACACAATATTCTTGTTATTTTACATTGCCTATTCATTTACTGACATGGTAAAACATTTGCTTGATGTTATGTTTCACAACGATTATTCAGATGGTGTTACAGTAAGATGGGGTATTGGTAAGCTAGTTTTCCATAGTTTTAGGAAATGACATGCTAAATACTTTAAATAAGAAAGCTTTTTTCTGTTATAAGTAGCTTTTTAATCAAATATGCTCTAGGGTAATCAGGCCGATAGTCCGCTGATTAATATATGTTTCGTCGTATAACATGTCGCTTTTTTCAAATTAAAAAAACTTTTTAGTGATAAAATGATGCAAAATGTATTTTTTATTATTTTTGTTAAAAAAAAATTAATTAATTAAATATTTTATACGATTACACATGTCATAGTTGCACTGGGACATGTTTCATAGTATAACACCTGCTGTTTTGGATTTTTGAAAAATCTTTAAAAAACAATAAAAAACCCGATAAATAATGCTTATAATAATTCTCGTATTTTACTTTATTATGTCCCATTTTCAGACATTTGCACAACAATTCTGGGCGTAATAATCATCATAATAGAGCTGCCCGGCTGTACGATGTATTCAGATGAATGGACGTTATGGTGGATTGGAGCTGTTTTTTACAGTAGCATTGATATGTTACATTGTTACTGGAGTGTGAAAGAGGTAATGAAGATAACAATTTTAATACTTTAACTTTCAAATTTAGACAAAAGGATCGATACAACGAGCGTGGAAGGATAACATTGTTTATAAACGACTGGTCGATAATGATGGTGATGAGGAACGAGTGATTGCTTGATAATCCATAGTTAAGCAATCAACATTTAACGTTCCAGCCCTTATAAATGATCTTATAACATCATGGGGGTTGGTACGCCCTAGTTTTTATTCGTTTGCGAGCGACGGCATCGATGGGAGGAAAACCGACAGCTCTCTACTGCAAGAACAGAAGGAATAATTTGTAAATATAAATACTTAAAGGACCAGTTCGATATATTACACTAACAAGGAAAGTGTCCGACATGCAACGCTCAGATTTCGTTCAAAATTTTTTACCTAATAGGGCATGTAAATGTAAGATTTTATGCAAAATTCTAAGTTGCGGTTTGCGGTCAGACTTGAGAAAATCGAGATCTAACTTAAAGGACCAGTTCGCCCATTCGACTAAAGGCATTCTGTCGCAAAAATTCGACGTTCATTTTTTTCGCAAAAAACCTGAGCAGGTCGGTCCCAAATTGGAAAATTCATTTCGACACTGACCCACTCACGTTTTTTGAGAAAAATGATTTTGATTGAAATTGCCTGATTTTCGACGTTTTTTGCGACAGAATGCCAATGATATTTGAATGGGCGAACTGGTCCTTTAAGTTTTGGATTTTCCGCCAAATGGGCATTGTGTTTCAAGCTTATAACTTTGTCATTTTTTGACTTTTAAGAATTTTTCTTTGACATACTAATAGAAAAATTTCAAATGAACCTACTTTTTTAAATTTGTAAGCGTAGCTTGTCTGGAAAGTCAAAAAACTACTTGACACACAATGCCAGATTTGCCAACTTTGCGGGAAACCAAAATAATTTAAAGTTAAAACTCAAAGCGCAAGCTAAAATTTTTTATAGGTACTATTGGTGGTACAAGAAATTAATATAAAAATTTTGAGCTAATTCTGAGAGTCGCAGGTTGGGTACATTTGTTGTAAATAATATCAAACTAATAAAAGACAGAATTTATAAGATTCAGTTCGAAACGGATATGAAGATTTTTGACAGTTTCTTCGTATAAAAACCTCTTCTTTGCTACTTGTTGAAAAGGAAAGTTGATTATACGTTTCGTCGTTTCAATTATCCGCTCGGCTTCGGTGTCTTCAATATGTTTTTCAACATGAAAACATTTAATATCTAAGCTAAAATAAACGTTACGATCTTGAGCAGCCAAGTTTGATAGTAATTCGATTTGTGCCATTCCTTTCACCAACTCGTCATATTTGTTTTTACCACAATCTGAAATCTCAATTTTAATAAAAAAAGTTTATAGTATGGTAAAGTACTTAGAAGATATGTTGCAGAAGGTTTAGTAAAAGATAAGGTAGTTTAGGGTTGGGTGGGGCAGGATAGGGTATATTAAGTTAAGGTAGGGTAGCGTAGGTAAAGTAAGGTCCTTTTCTATTTACTTACCCCAATCCTGACCTGCAATAACGAATTTTCTTAGTTTGGGTAAGCGTTTGCGCAGATCAGGAAAGTAGAATGCAAATTCTTTCAGTTCTTCCAAACGAAACGGCTCGTCAATTGTGATTTTTTCTTCCAAAGTATCATGTTCGGTACCATTTCGCAAAAAGGAAAGGATAATATCTCCTTCACACAGGATATGTTTGATTCGAATAGCAGACAAGGCTTCTGTATCTAAAGATATCACAATTTTTACCACATTTTAAAGAATTCTTTAAACATAATATTGACAGTAGCTGAGAATGAATTCCATTGAAAAATATTGGGAGGGGGGGGGGAGGGGGGAGAGAGAAAAGGTGAATGACACTTTATAATTAAGGAGAACACTTACAATGGTTAGTTTGTTGATTTATAAATCTGCAATCCAACTCATCGATCTTCCAATCATTAAAAAAGTGAATTGTTCTGAAATCGTTTACAAGAACGGCTACTATAAGATGTCTTAACGATTCTACCAAAACTTCCCATCCTAGGGCCCACGATCTGTATGTTGTACCACAAACAATCTTAATTTTAGGATTGCACGCGTCTGAAAGTAAACAGCTTGATCATTGACATAGCCTATAAAAAACTATTTTTGACAGTATCTTCCAACAATTAAAAAAGTTTTTAAAAAATTTTTAACGTGGTCTGTCTGTTAATCTTTAAAAATTTTTTGACTGAACAACCACTTACTTTTGATACTTGATGCAACTTGGTAAAGTCTTTTCACGTTGGTATTGCTAGATAAATGATGCACGAACAAATGTTCTGGACGTTTCAAACCTAACAAAAGTCGAAGTCCAATTAAATTCTGCGCAAAACTGAATTCACCGTCCTTTACGTCACACGACGTAGAATAAATCTTTAGGTTTAAGCGGTTGTTTAAAATGCATAGGTACATGCGCACATTTAATTGATCTACATCTGCGTAGCGTTTGGAAACGGCCTAAAAGGAAAATTATATAATATATTACTCCAACTGCTAATCTTTCTATTGTTTAGACGATATTATGAATCTCGGTACAAATATTACAGTAATTTAAAATATTAGAATATTAATTTTAATCATTACAGTACTTATCATAAACGTTACATTAATATCTTTAAATATTAAAGTATTAATCTTATATATAACAGTAATAATATTACTATCACAGTATTTCTTTTATACCAAAAACTTACAAGTGTCCAGACATTCAGAGGTCGTTCGAGTAGCTCAAGGCTGTATTTTAAAAAATAGTTGACGCAGCTGTCGTTCAGCTTACGCATAGTGTCCTCTAGGTTAAGTCAGTTGAGTAGTGAGTAAAAACGTATTGCGAACTAGAAGAATGACATCCAGCGAACACTAGACGTGATAGAAAACAGTTGCTATATTGCAGGCGCTTGAATACTGTAGTTACAGTATTCTTTCTCAACTTCAAATTAAAGCAGCCTTGGCAAAATTGACTGATCGAACCCTCGATCGGCGATTTAAGAAACAAGGTCGGCCGTCTGGTCGATTACAAAAGGCGAGACGCCATTGTTCCGGACCAATCGCTTGGATAACACAAGTTGCGCATTCTAATTCCTCGGTTCATCCAACGATAGGTTAAGGTTTTTGTGAGTGAATCGCTGCCTCGCAAGCAGGCTTGGACACAGGGCAGGGCATTGGCAAATTTCCATGCCCTGCCCTGTGCCCTGCAATGCCCTGCCCTGTACAGGGCATCGGGGTTTCATGCCCTGCCCTGCCCTTGCCCTGCAGGGCATCAGGGCATTTACAGGGCATTTACAAGGCATTACAGGGCATTAAGTATAATAGTACTAACAAATTCATTAAACATAATATAGTCACAAATAATGAATTACACAACTTAAAAACAAGTTATTTAACATTTAAATATTATTAATAACAAAAAAAACAACAATTTTTTAAAATTTTAAACATTAATTATAAGTAATGAATCTGTAACCCTAAATTCTCCTGTTCTCTGTAACTTCAAATTGATTTAGCAAGTAGCAGTAAGGTTTTGGTACTGTATGGTACTAATTTTTCTAAATTTTGTTCTTTTTGACATTGTATGGTACTAAATTGTACGGTCGGCGGAGACTTTAGAGTATTCGGCGGAGGGTCGGCGGAGGCTTTAAGGAATTCTATTTATTCGACCCTACCCTTAACCTTTTAGCGCTATCCCATCTTATCCCTGGCCTTTTTAGCCTACACGACCCTACTCTTGATCTTTTTAATCCTAACCTACTATACCATACCCATGTTGCCTAGTATACCATACCCTACCATAAACTATCCTATCTATCATACCACATCTTAATATAACGTATCATATTATTATACTATACCAAACCAAACTATACTTGACTATATTATACCGTTTTACTTACCTATTCTACCATACCTATGGATAGTACACAGTAGTGTCGTATAAGATTGAATAAGGTAAGGTATAGTACAGTTTGATATGGTATGGTATAATATGATACGTTATATTAAGATAAAAGTGGGATAGGGTTAAACAGGTCAAGGTAAAGTCGAATTGATACCCTAAACTCTTCGTCAAATTGCCTAAAGCCTCCGCCGACCCTCCGCCAAATACTAAAGTCTCCGCCGACCCTCCGCCGAATCAAAAAGAAAATTTTTGGAAAGAACAGGGCATTTGCAGGGCATTACAGGGCATATGGCATGCCCTGCCCTGTTCGAAGCTATGCCCTGCCCTGTAAAAATATTTCAAACCATGCCCTATGCCCTGCCCTGTGTCCAAGCCTGCTCGCAAGTCTGGATATATTCGTACTTACAGTACTTTAGTTACAGCAACTTGTATAAGGGCTTGTACTGACACTAGAATTGATCAATAGTTTAGTGTATAATTGTTACTGTATCTTGCATTATGGTAGAACTTACCATACCCACGAGCTCCCCACCCATTTATTATATATCACTTACTTTTGATAATCGATGCGACTTGGTAGTTACTTTTAGGGTCGTCATATGCAATTGTATACAACTCCAGAAACTTTGGACGTTTTAAACCCAAAGCAAGTCGAAGTACAGTTAAATTCTGTGAACATTGGAACATACTCCAATTTATGTTGAAGACCGTAGGCAAAATGCATAAGTCCATGGGGCCCTTAAATTGATCTACAGCTGTGTAGCGTCTGGAAAAGGCCTAAAATGAAACTTGTATTATATTACACGTATAGTATAAATTATTCATACTTTTAATTTTTCTATCGTGTGAGCGATAAAATGAACTTTATTACAAATACTATGGAATATTACAATATTGACCTTAATAATTGCAGTATTTATCTTAAACGTTACATTATTACTCTTAAAAATTACAGTAATGATTTTACGTTTTACAATCCTAGCAGGGACGTCGCTACGATTTTTTTCTCTGAAGGGGGAGGGGGAGAGAAGAGTGGAAACCCAAAAAAATTTTTTCGTCTACAGGTAGCCTGTGGACCTAAAATTTTATTTGGGATAGCCCGTAAAATAGCATAAGCAAATAAGAAATATGATTCAGGAATAATATGAACAGGTCTTAATATAGGATCAGCTTCAATAAATATCTCAGGATCCCCTAAACTAAAAGGATTAACTAAACAAAAAATAAAAAATTAAATTTTTAAATTAAAATATGTAATATTAAAATAAATAATCATACATAAACATAAAAATTAAAGCTAAGATTTTTCAAATTTTTTTTTCGTTTTTTTTACCTACCTACCTGTGGATTTTTTTTTCGGATCAGCTCTGGGGGGGGAGAGAGTCACCCCCAAACCTCCCCCCCCAAATGACGTCCTTGAATACTAGTTTCAAGCCAGAAACTTACAAGCGACCAGACATTCACTGGCTGATCGAAGGGCTTAAGGCTGTATGTTACAAAATAATTAACACAATTGTCGTTCAACTTAGGCTTAGTGTTCTTGATGTTAAGACAGTTACATCAAGTAAAAAAATGCTTAAAACAAGCCAATACGGACGACATCCTAGCATATACGCTACTGAAAAACCGTCAAGGAATATTACCTGGACGCTTGAGACAAAAAAGTAAGCAAAGGTGTAAGGTAGAGTCAAATAATGCGGTCGATTTGAGAATAACTAGAAAAGTACCCACACATGCCCAGCTTAGAATCAACTCAAAATTTTTATATGTATTGAAAATGGCGTTAGGTTATAAAAATCGGCACAGGTAGCTTAACTGGCCCGATTTTTTCGACCCCCTCCCCCAGTCCAAAAGTTCTCACCCGGCACTGGTTATAAGGCCTTATATAAGGTTAAAACACAATGCCAATTTGGCAAAAAATTCAAAGCTTAAGTGTTTGATCTTGATTTTCTAGACTTTCAAGGAAGCTTCAATTTAGTAATTTTTTGAAGATCGAATCAACTAAAACCTTATAAACAAAACCATGAAAAAACTTTTTATTCAAACACAATCATTAAATTATTGACCACTATCAATATCCTCCAGATTTACATCGACCAATTTGTCGTCTGAATACACAAGTTAAGGGGATTTCGCTGCAGCCTCGTCTTCGGAACATAACGCATCTAAATCAATGTCGTCAAAGTTAATATCCGTAGATTTGGTCTTCTTGCGACATGGGGTGCCACTGACTGGGCGGAGTTGCTAAACATAATCGTATATTAGCCTATTTACTCAAAACAATTCCATCCTTTAAAACATTTTTAACTGAAGCATAAGCCAAACTAGCTCACCTTGAACGATATCATTAAATTGGCATCAATTTGCATAATAGCACCAGCATTATTGTACTGTCCACAGTAATTTGGAGCCGAAAACAAGGTTACCAAGTGCCGTTGGGCAAAAAATTCGTAGCCATCCTTAAAATATAAAAAATTTACTTTTTAAAGCAGTACTATACTCCACCCAAGCCCTATGTTCAGTTACCTTACTCTACCCTCCCCTACCCTATTCTACATTATTTTATTCTGCCGTAACTTACCGTACCCTGCCCAATTTCACCATTCGCTATTATAAACTCAAGCCTCCAGCCTTGACCTACTCTTAACCTACCGAACCCTTGTTTTATTGCTAGTATTTATACCCTAGCCCGACCATTAAACAAAGTCCTACTTAAACCCTACCAAACCATAACCAATCCCTAAGCCCTACCCCATCCTCTCCCACAAATAACTTACCATTACCTAAAATCCAAAAAGCCACTTACCTGAACCACCTGATGTGCTCTAACCACCATATCCAAGTTCAAGTTCCTGCATGCATCCATGACCGCTCTCTGATTGAAATGACTCGAGATACCTCGATTCGAAGGTCCAAACTGTGGGTCCATCTCACGGCACGGTAACTTCGGATCCGGATCTGACCACAGTAGATCGATATGTAGACCAGCCTCACATGGGTCAATTGGTCGTTTCAGTGCCTCCAACTGTTGGATTTTCTGCAAATTCGGTGACAATCCACCATGCATGCACAAGATACGACCATTGATGAGGGCACAGAACGGCAGCCAATTGAAGACGTCTTGGAAACGGTACCACACTTGAGTGCCCTTCATGTCGGCCGCCTTTACGCCCCATACCGTGTTCGAAACCGGAATGTGTTGGAAACGTTGTTCACATTCGTCCGAAAAGCCATACGTGCGGTTTACCGCGCTGCATTCGTGATTACCTCGTAGCATGTTCATACGCCATGGGTATCGTACTTTGAGCAGAAGTAGGAGACAAATCACTTCCAGGCTGTGGGGGCCTCGGTCTACGTAGTCGCCCAGAAACAAGTAAAACTAAAAAATAACAAATATTATATTTTGATTAAAAATTCAAAAAAATTTTTTAAAATTTTTTGAATTTTCAAGCGAAAAAAAAATTTGAGCTCCTACCGTTTCAGATGGATTACCACACATAGCAAATATCCGCAGCAAATCAGTAAATTGACCATGAATATCGCCTACAATGTACATTGGAGCATTCAACTTCAACATTGATGGTAATTTCTTCAAAACGTCACTAAAATAAGCTACACAAGGTAAAGTCAGATAAAGTAACTTATGGTAGAACAAGATAAGGTATGGAAAAGCAAGGCACAGTCAAATAAATCAAGAAGTTTATTAAGGACTAAACCTAGTTTAGACCAAACAAAAGACTAGACCTAATACAGAACTAAGACAACGCTAGAGCAAGACCAAGGCACAACTAGGGCAAGACTAGGGCAAAGCTAGAGTAGGAATAAAGAAAAGCAAGGATAAGATAAGATGTAACATAAAATTTCAAAAAAACTTACATAGCTCTGATAATGATTTGTTCAATAACTCCAGGATCCGTGAGGTTATCAGCCACAATCATATTGTTACCTTTATCATCTAGAGTCACCGAGTTCATGAGCTTGTAGATAAGGCCGTTTACGTCCAGTTTTGGAGCTTTTTCCGCGTCTTCTAAACACAAACATTTTAGAAAGTTACAACTCTACTTAAATATCTAAACCCTAGTACAATAATTTAAAGCTTACAACAACTTTTAATACACTACTACCTTTAAACCTACCACCAGGGCCGGGCGGGGACTTTTGGTCTGGGGGCGGGGGTCCGAAAAATCGGCACAGGTAGCTGCTACCTGTGCCGATTTTTTGCAAAATTTTTTTTTCGAAAATCCACAGAGGGGACCACGTTCAATTTTTTCAAAAATTTTTTTCTGGGGTTCCCCCCCCCCTCGCGCCCGGCCCTGCCTACCACAATATAAACACAAGTCTTACCTTTAAGCGGACTTTCCGTTGTATTACCAGCGTCACGATGATTCTGTAGCTTCACCGTGTCTTCAGTTCCAACCTTTCCCTTCTTATCCTCCGTATACCGGTCGGTTGTTTGATCATCGACCACTTTTTCAGCTTCTATAGCACCTTTAAGTTTCTCCTCCAATAATTTCAGATTCTCGACATTTCTCTGCTTCAATGATAAGGTAGGACCGACATTGTTATTGAAGTCGGCAGTCGCTGTTTCCGGCAGACCTGGTCGGTCGTAATTCTTTCTGATGATATTGGTGGGCGTGGGTGGTAGGTCTGAAACTTTTTTTTATGAGCAGATGGAAATTTAGATATTTCAACCTAAATTATGATCTTGTGCTAGTCTTAAAATCCTTTTTAAAAAGAACTTACTTGTAGGCTTCCCTAATATATCGAAAGGAAACGGAGTTACAGCTCGAGGTATCGGTGGTGGTGGATCAGCTGGAGCAATGGCTGTGTCGAAGAATACGCTTCCACGTCGTGTTGGATGGTCCTTTCGTGATACATGTGAATCAGGTAGAAGTGCGACACTTGAAATTGACGTCTTGGCACCTAAAGTTGGAGCACTGGCACTAGAAGTCGTGTTAGAAGTACTAGCGCTAGGTGTGCTGGAGCTTGTAGAAAGCGGTGCGAGAGCTTTGGAACTTGTACTTGGAGTCGCAGCATTAGTACAGAGCGTGCCAGAAGCTTTGGAATCTGTAATTGGAGTCGTAGCGCTAGTACTCGGCGTGCTAGAAGATTTGGTAGCCTGATTGGAATTTGGAGTACTAAGATTTGCAACTTTAGGACTTTGAAAAGGAGCTATTGTAACTGTAGACGGAGTTGCAGTACCAGATGTCGGTGTTGTAGCACTTAAACTAGTCGTACTAGATGTTTTGCCGCTTAAAGCAGAAGTTGTAGCACTTGAATTAGAATATGCGGGACCCAAACCAAACGTTGTAGAACTTGAACTTGGGGTTTTGGCATTCGAACTAGAAGTTGTACCACTTGCATTAGGAGATTTGTTACACAAATTAGCAGCTGATGCACCTAAGCTGGGGTTTTTAGCATCCAAAATAGGTGTTGTAGTAATTGCACTTGGAGTTTTGCCACTTGAACTTGGCGGATTGAAGGCTGAGGGGGCTGGATTCGGACTTGTAGCATTTAAATTGAGCGTACTGGTCGTTTTAGTACCTAAACCAGGAGTTGAAGTACTTGAACTTGAAGTTTTGGAATTTGAACTAGACGTACTCGGAGCTGCCACAGCTAAATCAGGAGCTTTGTTACCTAAAACAAGAGCTGTGTTAACTAAATCAGTGGTTGCAATACCTAAACCAATAACTGCAACCCCTCCGCCTAAACATACACCATACCTGAAGCTGTAGCACTTGAATTGGGCGTTTTAGTAGTAGAATTTGAATTTGTAGGCAGATTCGTGGACATTGATGTAAAACGATTAGATCAAGATACGATACTATTACCAAACCAATGGCCGAATATCATATACCAGTAATACCAAGGTAACAATGCCAACCAATTTCTGGATAAAAATTATTCTCAATTAGAGAGCACAAAGTGAATAAACGACCGGTCGCCAAGATTACAAAAATAATACTGACCAAGGTAAAACAAGGTAAAGTAAAATGAAAAAATGCTTAACAGCATTTCGAAATTTAATTTTTTTTTGTTGGGAAAATTTGAAAAAACCTTTAAACCCATATGTAACTAGCCTTACCTACAAGCTCAAGAACTCGGTAGTGTTAGATAAAAAAGGTAAGAATATTATAATATATTACAGTAGGGAATAACCTTAACAATCTCTAGAAAAAGTCTATGTCAGCGTACTTTAGCGCTATGATACCCTCTATTTTTATACAGTAGCCCTACTATAGCCATATATTTACCTTAACCTAACCACTCCAGACTAAAAGTAAGGGCCTTAATCATAGTTAATTAGGTTTTTCAAATAATTATGGGCCCCTTACTTTAAAAATTTTCTTTAGAAAAAGGCAAAGAATTATTTGAACAACCAATATATAACCTCACTCCTTCAAAACGTCACCTTATTATACCTTATCTTAGTCTACCATGCGAACAATCTTATACTGAAGTTCAACATGGCAAGATTTTTCTTACTGTAGCTTTACTCTAGTCTAGCCATGGTTAACCTTACAAAAATTTTAACTGTGTCAGAGGCCTTTCGCCATACTCCAGTCTTTATCTTAAAATTACCCTAGTCATATCAAAAGTTTTGTCCTAGACTAGCTTTTTTCTACCCTACTCTTGTGTACTGTAAACGTAAAGATTTCGTATTTTACTTTTAATTTTTCGGCTATGTAGCTAGTAAAAAATTCAAAACCAATGAGTTTGAAATCACATTTAAAATTGCATTTAATTTTTTAAAAAGATTATATTATCATGTTTTTAAACCTTAAAGAAAGCTCTTCAGAGAATTATGACCTCATTTCTAAAACATATATAAATCTCATAACTTCGTTATCAAAACATTTAAATCTCATTGCTTCATTACCAAAACATGTATTAATTCGATTAATATGCGAGCCTCCAGCTCATAATCTGATTTAATCATGTATTCTCGCACGTTTGGGCCGAGCTTTGTCCTAATGCAATTTATTTATACGCATAATAAACTGAGCTGGTTTTTCACATCCATAAACTCAGTCTAGTGTTTATTTTGACCCGCAAGGGACGTCAAAGTTTATATATATTGCGTTTGGAGTCATGACAAACGCTACGGAAAATGGACTTCAGGAAGCGGTTACGGTGTTGTTGCGAGCCAATTGTACATGCCAACGTGGGCATTACTGTTTTCGAATGAAAGGGTAGGTTTGTAGTGTTTTTTGGCTAGGTTATAGTAGTTTTTTCACTTTTTTAATGCTGGGCGCGTAATGAATCCTCTATTTTTAAAATTGGTTGTGATACATGGCTCATTTTTTGAACAACCTGATATATTAGGTTTCACCAACCTACTATATTGGTTGTTCAAATAATTCTCTACCCTCTCTCACAGCAAATTTTCGAGATTAAGAAGCTCAAAATTATGCGAACGACCTAATATGTAAATTTAGATGGAGATACCCCCAATTCTGCCTCCCAACTTGGTATAATCCAGCCGAAACTTTAAGCCAGAATATTGAAGCAGAGATTCATCGCCGAAACACGCTTCATGTGTCACCAGGCACTATGCTAATAACCATTCTTGTGCTTCTAATACTTATTGTAAGTTCTTGTAATTAGCTTTATTGTTAAAAGTTTTTGTAGATTTATTATAAGTTTTTTATATAGCTCTACTACAATATAATAGAGTAGGCTTTAAGAAACCAAAACTGAGCATAGCTAGCGATTTACCTGTCTTTTTCAGTAAAATATCGTTTTACCTGTCACTATACCCAAGTCTCATCCAAAAGTTATTGTTTTTTACAACTTTTTTAATCAAAAAGTCATAGCGCCTAAACATTTTTCCCTGTAAAACAATATGAAGGCATTTTTAGATATTCCTGAGCGTTGGAATAGGCGTAGCCAGGCGCGAGCGATTCATTTGGACCACAGTTAAAGACCCTCACTACGAGATGCCTGAACGTCGAACATGATATTCGATAACACGATCAACTGATAAAACGTTTGACATATACCTGATTATCATATTACAACATAACTTTTACCTGAACATGTTCATGAACATAATATCCCACAATTTTTACTTTACTATACTGTAAAATAACAGTAACCTAAATATATTGAAACATAACTCTTATAATATTTATGTACATGGCTGTAAAATCTTTCACGAAAATGTAAATTATCACAAATTTAAAAAAAAAATTTTTAAAAATTGAAAGACTTTTAATAATTTTAGATAAAATATAAATTAAAAAGACCTAATTAAACTAACCAAGACTACCTACATCAATATGCGTCCCTTAATCCCAAGCAAAACGAAATAAGTTTTACTATAATATAAGACTACCTAAACCTAGCAGAACTAAAACAGTGATTTTCAAAGAATGCTCTACTATAACATAAAGAACGTTTAGCTATATCTACACATCATCTTCCTCTTCAGTTCCACCAACATAGGAACTGTCAGGAATCTCTTCTTCATTATCCGACTGAACATCCATGTCCAAGTCAGGATCACTGTTCTTTCGGTCGCTGTTTACGTCCTGAACATACCATAATATACATTTTAAAAATATTTTAAAATTTGATAAAAAATATAAGAAAAAGGCGTCTACAAATAAAAATGCTCATGTTTTATCATATTTTAGAGTACTTACGAACCCATATGTAAAAAACCGTCCTTACCGGCAAAACATCGCACAAATACTTGGTCTTCTCCACATTGAAAAAGCTGGCAAAAGGATTGTCCTGAACTGACAAAACCTCATTCAAAGGATGGTCTTTCGGTGGTTTAGTAGCACCATGTATCATACCCAAAACTGGCTCCATAATACTCCCGTCCCAAGGCTTGAATTTCAATGCCTGAGGATCGTCCGACTTTGGTAGATCATAAATTTGCGTCCGACTGTCTCTAACCGCAGTATTTGCCATCTTCTTAAACTTTTTCCTATCATCAGCCCACAAAAGTGCTGCTTCAGCATTAGCAGCATGATCTAATGTACAATCGTATCTAAAGAATAAGGCTTGTAAAGCTTGAAGAACGTGGTGAATATGGTTGCGATCTGGAGACCATCCTGAAGGAAAGAAGCGATGAAAGTCGACTCGGTTTGTTTTTGGATGAATCATTGGATGAAAGAGGTTGAGTTCGAATTCTACTGTCTGAGAGTTAAAGAATTTTATATCAGTAGTTTGATGTCTAACATCCCCGAAAGTTTTAAATCCATATCTAATTTTCAAAAGAAATCATATCCAAAACCAAGAAGTTGATGCTCCTAAAACCCAAAAAAAAGCAAAACAAAAACAACTTACCGGAACTTGGTCTGTGTCTGGAAAACTAGGAGAGAGAGTTAATGTAAATCTAAAGATTCCTCCAGCGAAAACTCCTGCTTTTACCACAATAACTCCGTACCATTCTAAAACAAAAGTAAGTCAATAACAACATAAACAAAAAATATAAAATCTTTCGCATGAAAATGGTTTCGAAACCTAATAAAACACCCATAGTTTCCAATCGACTAAAAAACTTACCAAGAAGGTCCAATTCACTTGGCCGAACGTAAATTCCCTCGGGCGGTCGATTGCAAATAGCTCGACTAAAACAATATTCATATTATCCTCGTTCAACTTACAATTCTGTTAAAACAAACAAATTCCTTCGTTTCAACGGATCTACCGCTGGTATATTGTCTGATCGATTAGTGCTTGAGATAGAAATAGAATCGCTTTGAACTTGAATTTCATCTCCTTCATTTAAATTCAGTTTAGGTATACTTTCAGATAACATATCTGCCATTATGAGCTATTTTTATACAAATTTAACACAAAAATAGATGTAAAATACCACAAATATTAACTCTAAAATTTGTCCGGCAAAATTTTGTCGAATTTTATAAAATCTTGAAAAATCGAAAAGCCACACAATTATCGGCTTTTCAAACAAAGTGACAAAATTTTATTGGATTTAGATTTTCACAGAAATTCATAGAAATTTCAAGCTTTCTGCTGGATTATTCTTCTTCAAACTTGACTCCATGAGGCTGAACCCATCCACCAAACTTTTCTTCAATCTTTTGAGCAACAGAACACAACAAAAGCTCTGAGCCAGGAGCTCCAGCCACTTGAACAGCTAAAGGATAACCAAGCCGATCGCGGCCACAAGGAACGGCGACTGTTGGAAGACCAAGAATGTTGAATGGAATAGTGTAACAGGTAGGATTCAGGCCAGCAGAGGCGTGGAAATAATGGGATTCTGGCAAGGATGGGAATAGGAGAATGGCATTGTCTGGAATTATATTGTTTTAGGTGAGGAGACAAGAATTTGTTTTCGTTGTAACTTTTTGGTAAAAGTATCTAGAGCTTTGAAATTTTCCGTAATCTTATAGCTTTTCTTTCTTTAGCTAGCGTTAGAAACATTTTTTTTTTAAATTTAAAAATTTTGGAGTTACAGTAATTTTTCCGAACTCAATATATTTTCAAAAATTGAAGACAAATTACCTTCCAATTGTTGCCAAATTCTTTGTCTCAATACCTGCATTTGTCTTTTGGCTTCTTTTACTACACTTTCTCTATGTTTCTTACTGAATACGTGCATTCCAGAAATGGCTCCATAAGAAAGCTGAGAGCTACCGGTCAATAACTTGACGATTTCCTTTAGAGGGCTGATGTGTTCGTTCTGAAATTTGAATTTTTGTTTTGAAAGGTAACGTTCTTTGAGTACAAAGTGGGATTTGTGTGTTTTAAACGGTCCATATATAATTTTAGGTAAGTAAAAGCCATTTCGAAGTATATTTTTTTATTTTATACCTTATTTTAGGTAATAAAGCTTAATATTAGGTACTAAAGCACAAATTTCAGGCCTCAATAATCTTTCAACTATCTAAACTAGTAAGTTCCTTACAGGAGACAAAAAGTCGTTGATATTGAAGCCTTCCATGCCAACTATGGTTAATATTTCTGGGAATTCAATTAGGTCTTTTCCAAATTTGAATTCATTGTTTGGAGTACCATAGGTACCAGAGAGGTAATTTCGCACATCTTCCCAGATGTGTTTGACTTCCTTGTTTAGTCTGAGTAAAGGTGGTGCATCTGGTGCACAACTGAATATTTTTGTTGGCTGTAGGGGCGGAAAGGCTTCTAGGATTGGGGCTGATGATAAGATCTGAAATTGTTTTTGAAGTTTGAGTTTAAACAAGCTTGTTTAGCTTTTTGTGCTATTTTGCAATATTCTTGTTATGATAGAAGTTTTTTATCAGGTAGGTATCGTTATTTTTTTTAACTTCTACTTTTTGAAATATTTAGAAGAAATATTCGAAATCTATGTGACAGTAAGTCTTACATTATTAAGCAAAGCCAGATCTTCAGCATATCTAGCCAAAGGACCAACAACTGCCATTCCACAGTATTCTTCCGGATATTTCAGCTCCAATATCACACCATCAAACTCACATCCCTTTGGACCAGGCTTCAGCCCATATACACCATTCAACATTGCCGGTATTCTAATGGAGCCGCCCAGATCAGTACCAAGACCAATTAGGGATCCTTGAGCTGCAATCAAAGCACCTTCACCTCCAGATGAACCACCACAAGTTGTTCTTGAATCGTGTGGACTACAAGTTCGGCCAAACACAGCATTGTCGGATTCGATACACAAACAGCCTGGGGGAATGTTGGTGTAGCAGATCGGGATGGCTCCGGCTGCGATTAGCCTGAAAATTGGGATTTGAGTTTAAGGCGGCATGATCTATATTAAGTTGGATGATTGGAATTTTCAAATGCAAGGTTTTGAAAATAGCAGCACCTATATTAAGTTAGACGGTCAGAATATTCAAAGACAAAATTATGATTTGATATCAAAGTAAAAATATTTTATGAATAAATACTGTTATTTAGTAAAGTAAATGAAGGCCTTACTTGTCTACGGCTACCGCATTAGCCTTGGCGACTGGAGTTGATCTCAAATGTGTAAGACCACAAATATTGCGATGGCCTTTAATATTGAAGTGGTGTTTTATCGATACTGGTACACCTAACAGAGGTTGTTCTGATTTTAGCTGAAATATATTGGCATCAGTTAGCTTAGAATGCTTCTTTTAGGTATATTAAAGTATTTCCTTCGTAATAGAGCAAAATTTTGATATTGACAGAGTCAAATCCCTTCCCCCCCCCCGGCACATATATAAAATTTTAGGTTGATTCTTCAACGCCTAGGGCAATCTTTTCAAATTGTTAACTTGCTTTTTCCAATTTGTCTTTCTTTCCTTTTTTCTTTTCAATCAACTCATCTACTTCTCTAGCTTTATCAATGGCTTCAGCTTCAAATAGCTCTGTCGCTGCATTGATAAACGGGTTTACATCTCTGATGCGCTTGTAGTAGGCTTGTATTAGGTCTACGCTTTTTAGCTGAAGACAATTTTGATTAAAAAAGGTAGAGGTGGATAGAGGTAGATAGGAGGGGTAGGTCAGCATAATGAAGCATAGGGCAAAGTAGGATAGAGTAAGGTAAATTAAGGCGGGGTAAGGTAGAGTAAACTAGCTTAGGGCAAGGTAGGGCAGGACAAGGTACGTTAGGGCAAGGTAGGGGGAGGTGAGGTAGGATAGAATAGGTATCTTGTAACAATGAATTGTTAAGGCTGAACTATTGATCATAATTTTTCTGTTTGGGTAGCAATATTACTGTACAATACTTTAAACTTTCTCAAGACAAAATTACTTACAGTGCCACTCCTAATTTGTTCAGCAGCCTTAGTGGCACTGATGTTTAACAATGGTTCTTCACTTGGCGTAACAACTGTACGTTTTGCTCTTGAAGAAGCATATTTGGCTATTCCATTTAGAGCAGTGTTCAGGAGAAAGCCACTAGGGTCGATCTAAACTTATATGTTTGAAAATTTTCGTCGTTTTACAGCTTTATAATAAGGTAAAATACGTCTTGGTTGCTCACATAATTCTGTGCTTTCTATCAAAATAAATTTTTGAGGTTAAGGGGCATAGAATTATTTGAACAACTTAATAGTTTAGCAGCTCAACTTTAACTCACTTTCTTAATCGGCAACTTGGGCAACTTTTCCTCGTCGTTCTTGGGAATTAAATTCTCTGAAGCCATTTCCAACTAAACAACGTTTTGTTTACCACAAGAACCTTTTTGCGTGTGGCTGTTCGGCTTGATTAGACCTATCGATCATTAATCGGAAAAAGAACAGAGTTAGCTCGTAAATAATATAAGTGCTTACACGATTCAATTAAGGGCGGTTGAATGTATCTGAAGCGATATTACACATGAATGGGGCTACGAATATGTTTGAGATTATAGTAGGAATATTATGCTAGGTAAGGTGGGTAGGGTAGGATAAGGCAAGGTAGAGAAAGAATACAAAAGATGAAGGTAAGCTAGGATAAGTCGGTAGGATGAAGCAAGGTGAGCAAATTAAACTTGGTAAAGTAGGGTATGATAAGTTAAGATAGGGCATGTCTTAGGTTTTAACCCTTGCACTAACTACGGATTATACTGTTCAGATACTACACTAGTTACAAAATAATATTACTACACATAAATTAATGTTAATTTAAAGTCAAGTTCTTTAAACTTAAAGAAAAGCTTATTTCATTGTTGTAAACAATGTAAAAATGGTGTTATAGTGTTGTTATGCTTCTGTTTTCTCATTTATATACACCATTCTGCTTTTATTTACAAAAACATTTAAAAAGATGACTAATTCTGACCTTGGGCTCTAACACATTAAAAAACGAGTGCAAAGGCATGGTAAATAATAGCTGTTTCAAGAAATTCGAGAACAATAATTTGCAGTTTGTCAATTTGTAAAATACTGTTTTATTAGCTTGTTCAAAAAGTTCTGAGCCAAACGACTATTTCGAAAAAAAACTGTAAAACAAAAACTGTGGCTCAGAGCTTTCCGGACAGCCTAATACATAATATCATGATATTATTATAAATTCAAGCCGCTGAGATAAAAATGTTTTATGAAAAAAGGTATTATGTACAATATTTTAAATTTTCTGTATTTAAAAAGATCAAAACAGCACTAGCATACTACAAAAACCGGTTAAAAACAAAATTTAAAGGTAAAATTTTAAAATCATATTTTAGTCGGCTGAACCCAGCCTCCAAACTGTTTTTCCAACTTCTTAGCTACAGAAAATAAAAGTTGGTCAGAGCTGGGATGTCCAACTAGTTGTACTGATAATGGATAACCGTCTTTGTCTTTTCCCATTGGCACCGCCATTGCTGATAAACCTAGGGTGTTGTAGAGAATTGTGTTTAGTGATGGTAGGATACCATAGCCCAAATGGAAGTAATGAGAGTCGGGTATTGAGGGAAATACTAGCAGGGCGTCACCTGTAAGATGTGTGGTTATATGTGATAAGATAGGCTGATTTTATATAGGCTATCTCAGTTTTCAAATAGGATAAGGAAAGGAAAGTTAGAGTAGGGTAGGCGTATTGTAGATAAGGTATGATGAGGTAGAATAGAGTAGGGTAGGTAGGGTAGAAGTTTACTATTTGCCTTACCTTCCAACTGTTTGTAAACTCTATCTCGTACAATATGTAGTTGTCTACATGATTCTTGAATCAATGACTCTGGGTATCGATTCCGGGATGAGCATAGCAAGGGTAGTGTGATTGGCGATATAGAGGAAGCTCCAACAAACGACTTGGCAAACTCTTTGAACAAACTTATTGGGTGTTCGTCCTGAAATGGGTATTATGTATAAAAAAGGCATTTTCTTACAAACAAAAAATAGATAGCTTACCGGCATTAAATGCTGATGAATATTGGCCAAGTTGTCGGCTTCGAAAGCACATGCCTTTAGCATTATGACAAATTCCATCAAACTTTTGCTCAAATCAAATTGTTGTACTGGAACTCCGTACAAGTGAGAGATGTAGCTCTTGGCGTCTTCGTGCGTTGCTCTAACTGGGTTTGTCATTGTGAGATAAGGTTTTTCATCATTGGCCAAGGAGTAGAGGACTTTTAGGGTTGGTTCGGGGATTTGTTGAGGTAGAACTTCTTGGAACAGTACCTAAAGCAAGGTTTATATTGAACATGGTCTTTTGGTACTTGTGTTTTTCAAAAAGTTTTGAGCTTTTTTGATAAGTTTACTACAGCAAGTTAAATGGTATCTACTTTTTACACAGTAATGTAAAAGCCTATAGAATAACTTACATTAGAAACCAGCGCCAAATCTTCAGCATACCTAGTTAGCGGTCCAACCGAATAAAACCCATCATAGATGGTATTACCAACTGAAGATGGTACTAATGTGTCATCTGGTATAGTTCTACCCGGTTTGTGCCCATATATACCACATAGCATGGCTGGTACACGAATAGAGCCCCCCAAATCTGTTCCAATACCGATTAAAGAGCCCTGGGAAGCGATTAAAGCACCTTCACCTCCAGAAGATCCACCTGGAGTACAACGCGTATCGAATGGATTACAACATCGACCGTGGACGGTGTTGTCAGATTCGAAGAAACAGGCTCCAGAAGGCACGTTTGTGTAGCATATGGGGATGCCTCCGGCGTTTAGAATTCTGTAAATGGAGTGTGTTAGAAAAGTAGGCTATGGTACGGTAAGGTAGGGTACTGTACTGTAGGGTAGGGTATGATAAGTTTGGATATTGTGAGCTATGTTAAGGTAGAGTCGGGTAGGGTAAGATAAAGCAAGCTACAGTAGAAAAGCCTACCGTTTGACATGTTCACTGCTCTCACTAGCCACAGGAAGCTCTCGTCTGTACTCTAGTCCACCGATGTTTCTATGTCCTTTGTAATCAAATACATGTTTCAATGATATTGGTATTCCAAATAAGGGTTTGTCACTTTTGAGGCGTTCAACTTCACTTGGATTACCATGAATCGTCTCAACATAATCATCGACTTCTTTTGCTTTTTCTAACGCTTCATATTCGAATAATTCGGTTACTGCGTTGATATAAGGGTTCACATCACGGATACGTTTGAAGTAGGCTTGGAGAAGGTCAAAGGATTTTAGCTGGAATGATAATGTAAATTAGTACAAGAGGGTAGTAAAATTTGATTTGTAGGTAGAGTAAACCTGAAAGATGGTCCGGCTTCTTTCTGTTTCTAAGGTTCAACAAAGGGTAGGATAAGTCATGAGAGGGCAGAAAAAAGTAAAATAGGCTAAAAAGGAAAGTGCCCGACCTGCCCCGCTCTGATTAACTTCAAACTTCTTATATAGGAAGATCACGTAAATATAAGATCTTCAGCAAAGTACTAAATCGCGCTTTCCAGGAAATCTCGAGAAAATCGAGATTAAATAATGACATTTTGAATTTCTCGCCAATTTGGCATTGTGTTTCAAGCTTGTAACTTTGTCATTTTTTGACTTTTAATTATTTTTCTTTGATATACTAGTAGAATACCTTTAAATAATCCTACATTTTTAAATTTGTAAGCGTATCTTGCCTGGAAAGTAGAAAAAAGTGCTTGAAACACAATGCCAAATTTGCCAAAATGGCGGGAAACCCAAATAATTTAAATTTAAAACTCAAAGAGCGCGAGTTAAAATATTTTATGGGTACTATTGGTGGTACAAAGAATTCATATAAAAATTTTGAGCTGATTCTGAGCGGGGCAGGTAGGGTACTTTCCTTGTAAGGTAGGACAGCGTAGAGTAGGATATTGTTGGAACGGGTATGTGATGGGCGTGGTAAGGAATATTAGGTAAAGTGATAAGACTTACCCGTTTGTTTCTGATTCTCTCAACAGCTTCCACAGCTGAAATGTTAAGTAGCGGGTCATCTGAAGGTAGGACAACAACACGCTCAGAGCATTTACTAGCTATTTTTGCAATAGCGCCACAAGCTGAATTTAGGAGGAGAAAACTGAGGTCAAGCTGCAAAGTTTAGGTATCATTTTGGAAAGCCTGGCCTTACCTTACTCTACCTAATTCTATCCTTTTTGGCTTTACCTTAAATATCTTACTTTATACTACTCTATTCTATTTTTTTCTACTCTACTTTATTCTACCTTACTCTTTGCTACCCTACCCTACCTTGCCAAACCATACTTAACCCTTGTCAAACTGTACTTAACCTTACACCCCCACTTACGCCAGACCTTCTTCTAGCCAATTTAAAGCTAGACTTTTACCTTATTAGCCGCCAAGACTGGCAGAGGTTCTTTCTCTTCATTATTGTTCAAGTCGTGCTTCACATACATTGTAGTAGGTGTATGAATGCAGCTATCATCGCAACATTTGGGGTTTTAAAGTAACGGTCAGGAAAAGTAGAAAAGGAGTTGTGATAGTGTAATATTGTAATCCAAACAGTTAACGTTTGTTTTTCATTTTCTTGATTGATTGCCATTCTGGTGCAAGTTTATATATCTACTTTATTAATGTACATCGTGTCATACGTATCACTACTGCTGGTTGTGGCTACTTTTAAGTGTTCGATAGTTTGTAAATTATTGAAAAAACGTGATTTTGATTGTGTAAATAGAGTAGATTGTTACCTTTTTGGTAGAGAAAGGTTCATTGTGGAAGTATATTGTTACAGTAAGGTGTTCTGGTAAAGTAATTGAATTGATCGCATGTGAATTGACATCTTGTAAGGTGTGTTTAATTGTTTTATCTAATTTGTCTTTGAGTAACTATCGAAAATGTTGCGAAGGAACTGAACCCTATTGATTTCTAGAACTAGCAATACCTGTGTAATAACTTATAATTAGCTGTGGAGTTTGGTTACTGAGTAATATAAGCTTTATTGATTGCACAAGTATTAATTTAGCTTTGTTTTAGCCTACTATTTTTAGTGAATGAGGTGGCGCTAGGCTGAAGCTGGGGTATGGAACAAGTAGTATAGTTATGTGGTGGGGTAATAGAAATTGTAGTGATCAGAGCAGGGTAGAATAAAGTTTTAGGTCAGGTTTAGGAAAAAAACTCTTTAGGATATAACATTATTGATAAATCTAGTTACAATAAAGGCAGAAGCAAATCATGGACAAAATAAGCGAAGCTCAAGCTACAGCGGAGGTAGGATACGGTAAATTACAGGTACAGTAGGGCAGGGCAAACTGAAAAAAAACAGGGTAGGAAAAGATGGGATACTGAAGTTTATGGTAGAGTAGGGTAGGGTAGGGTAGGGTAGGGTTGGGTAGGGTAGGGTAGGGTAGGGTAGGGTAGGGTAGGGTAGGACAGGGCAGAACAAGACAAAGTAGAGTGAGGTTTATGTACCTTTCAGCTCTTTATTTACATTTTTAAAAACACTGACGTCATTTCAAAAAACCTAGTGAAACCATTATGAAATTCACTGGACTAGTCTCTGTCGCAGATATTATCTAGTTTTTTTAAAAAAACACTAATCCAGAAGTTTCTTTAAAGAAAGCGAGACGAAAATCCGGTTAAACAGATGTCATAAACATATATAAGTAGCGTGACAATCAGTGATCAATGTCGTAATTTTGGTCAAAAATGATTTTTAGATCAGTGGTTGTTGGGTTTTGCATTGTCGTATCTGTGGCCGCGAAGAGTCGATATGACATACTGGTACCGGATTTTGAGGGTAAGTTTTTTTTGAGTATAGTCTAACGTATTTCGTTCTACCGTGCTAAACTCTTTTAATTCTCTTTCAGAACTAGCCAAGAACCGAACCGATCGATACCTAGATGGACTGGACAAGAAACAAAAAGAGCTATTTGTTGAGTTAGTAATGGCTGATGAAGCTACTCCAACCCCGAAGGCATTGGAAGCTACACAAGATTTGGCAGTCTTCAAAAAAGCTGTCAAATTGAGTGCTGACTTACTGTTGGAGAAGAAAGTCGACCACAAACTGGTCGAATTTATTGTTGAGGTAAAATACGACTGCTGGAATGGGTAGAAAAGAGCAACGGGCAGGGCCGATAGTATAGGTCTGAAAAAATTGCGAGGTCGGGCTTTTTCTAAGGCCCGGCCTGTTTTTAACATTGCTCAAGCCTGGCCCGATAGGTAAAAAGAATACTATAAAAATTTTTTAAAATTTGAATAAATTTACTTTAAAAAATTGGTTCAGCTATTATATCACATGCTTTATATTGTTTTAGATGCTGCACCAGACCAACAACCAAACCCAAGTCCCAGATGAAGATGAACAACTGCAAAACGAATTGTTGGTGATTTCGAAGATTTTGCAAAAATATGATGCTTTAGGCGATGACGAAAAGAAGTTAGCCGATCAAATCTTTCCTGATTACGCTAATGCTATGTTCCATGGTAAGCAATATTTACGCTATGATTAGAAGAATTATTTGAACAAAAGGTGAAAAGAATGCAAGGTATGGCAGGGCCCTTCAGGGGGTAATTGAAAAAAAATTGGCGGAGATTTTTTTGATTTTTTCAACTTTTCAAAAATACTTTAGATTGTGCAAATAATTCTGTGCCTATTAATGCTAAAAATTTGTTTTTGAGAAGGAACGCAGGATTATTTGAACAGCCGAGTAAATTACTTTTTTAGGGTGGACGGAGAACTTCAAAATTTTAAGAAAGTTATAATAAATTTAAATTATGGTTGTTTCAGTACCCCAACTTCGGGAATGGTCCAAAACCCCGGAAAAACACACTATTGCCTACTTCCGCTTTAAACATCAACTACAAGGTTAATCCAAAGAGAACAACATTTGTTTATATTTAGCACTATTTTTCAAATTTAATATGTATGTAGCTTTATAAAATGTAATATTTTAAATTTTAATAAATGTACATTAGGTATTATCATAATTTTTGTATTTCAGTCCGGTAGCGGGTAGGGTAATTTTATTTTTTTAGGGCAAAGGGCGGGTAAACTCAAAAAAATTTTAAGGAATGTAATAGAAGAAATTTGTTTAACTTTTCAAAAAAAAATTTTTTTTGTAATACTCCATCCTTTTGCCCTTCCTTAAAGAAAAACTTTGTATCTCTAACAGTTATTACCGTTTGCACTGTTCTGTTCTATGCTTCCCGTTATTTACTTGTTTAACAACCTCAAATTCCCTTTCCAAATCCCAAAAAAGTTGTATTTTTGCTCTTTTCAATTGACAAAAACCAAAAAAAAACAAAAAAAACTTAAACATTTCACCTCAGTTTCACCCCACTTTACCCTCATTATCCAATTATGCCCTTTCACAGCACTTTTCGTGTTATTATCTGCTGTTCCCCATAATATGGAGGAACAGAGAACTCAACGTGCCACGCGCTGCTCTTTCGGTCGAGACGGTCAGCTGATAGACGAGCAAAAAACGTGAGTGAACTTGGAACGTCAGAATAACATTATTTCGAGAGTTCAACATGTAGTTTAAATTTGAGTTACTTTGAATTTTTATGCTACTGGAGAGACGTGGTGAGGTTAGGGAAGGGTAAGTTATGGTGGAGTATGGCAGAGCTATATTCAGAGCAGAGTACCTGTAGGCTTATAAGATAGTTAAGATACGATAAAGTAGGGTAGAGTGAGTCCGAGTAAGGCAAAGTAGAGTAGGGTAGAGTACGGCAGGGTAGAGTAAATTAGAAAATGATAGGGTAAAGTAGGACAGGGTAAAGCAGAATAAGGTTGAGTTAGGTAGGGTAAGGTAAGACAAAGTAGTGTAGGGTAGGGTATGGTGGGGTAGGTAGGATAGGGTAAAGTAGGGTAGGTAGAGTTGAGTCTTTCGAAGGTGGTTACTCTGTCAAAATTAATTTTTAAAAAATTTCTCTTGTTTTAGCAGATCTTTCTTTCTCAGCTGACGTGATTTGATTCTTGAAATGTAATCTTTGCTGTCAAGTGCGACACGCTCTTGCAGAACGTTGTTTTTATACTCCGAAACGTGATCGGCTCTTTATAGTTCATATGGCAACTTTGGAAACATTTTTTTTTCTTGATGCTTTTTGTTTTTAAGGTTTTAAATAAAAATATATTTTACAAAATTCTACTTATGAAATCTTTTTAATGCCTCCATCAACAAATCGTATTTTACACTTACAGTATAAAAATTTAAAAAACTCTATTAATTTAAAAATTTATACTTTGCCAAATTTCAGCAATTCAATTTCATATTACACATGTCAGATTGTCTTCATATACAAACGCAGTAGCTATTTTAAAAAGTACTTTTTATGTTTCAAAGTGCAAAAAAACGGCTGAAGCGAATTCGAAATTGGGGACCTCAGACTTGCACTTTGGCGTCTGAGGCGGAGTCTGACACTAAATGGGAATGCGAAAAGACTTCCCGGGATTAATATACGATGCTGTTCCTTTCAGGTTGTAAATTTTTATTTTTTGTGTAATTTTTTAATTTAGAAATGGTTTTTATGTGTTTTGCCTTGGTTTATAGTATGACACAATATCAGGCCTCAGTTTACCTTATTTTACCCTACCCTATTCTACACCTCCCTACCTTACCCTATCCTACTCTACCACACCATACCCTACCGTACCCTATCCTACTTTAACTTACTATACCTTGTCTTGCTGTGCCTTCGCTTGCCGTAATTGCACTACCATACCCTACCCTACTACTTTAAACTGCTTCACACTACCCTACCCACCCATATGACATTCTTTACATTACAGAAATATTGTTTTTCCTTCTGTACAGTCCACGGCATTAGTTGTAAAGCCCGCAAGCCGCGAGATTAAGCCCATATATCGCAAGAAAAGAATGACCCATTCCACTTTTTTGTTCATGGAACGACACGGAACGAGCCGGAACGACCACAAAAAACCGAGGGGAAAAGAGCACGCGCACACCAGCTGATATGTGTATTTTGTGAAATTGAAAAAAAACCATTCAAAGCAGTTGGTCAATAAAATAAGGAAGGCAAATAGAAACCAAACAACAGGTTATGACATCTTAAGGACCATGATGACAATTAGAGTAGTTTTTAATTATTTAGCTCGTTTTCGCCTGGGGTTGGGGTTTTTTATATTTGGGTACGATATGGACATTATGTAAGTATAGCACAGTAAAAATTAGCCGGAAGCTCGAGGTCGTTATGTTTTCTTAAAATCGCGAATTTTGAACTGTTGGCCAAACTTTTATAAACCATTGTCAATGGCCCCAATAAAGTTATCGAATTTTACAATTTTCTTACCCTCCCCCCTCCTTCACGTTTAATAAAATCCTATCTTTCAGCTCTTGACCCCTATTTTTGACCAAATTGAATGTTCACCTCAACTCTCCTGCCTGAGAGTCGTCGTATCCTAATCGAACATCAATTATGGTCAGAATTCACCAACACCGAGGACGTTCCATCCATAAAATACAAACATTTTGATGAACCTTTGATCGAAGTCAACGCTAAATATTTTGATGCAAAAAGATTGGCATTTTTGGCTTCTGTCAACAAGAAGTACCAGCGAATGTGCAATGTTTATTTGAGCAAATTCATTTTTGAAGTCATTGCTAATGGAAATGATGGTAAGTTCTTGATGAAATGGCTTTTTAGGGTAAAATACGAAATGCGGCCTAGACAGTAATGTATAAATTTGGTCTAAAGCTCCTTTTTATACCTAAAACCTCAATATACCAATAACAAAATAAAAAAATTTCAGAATCCTCAGCCCATATTGTGCTACAAAACAAAAATCACACAATATACTGTGCTTTCAACGACCTCAAAGTCTTACGAACAGCCGGTTTACTAAAATGGAAACCTCATTCTCTTCAAATCTTTCATGACTTTTCTTTCCCTGAATGGACTATCTATACTAGCGAGTTTACGGGTAAGTAGTCTACCATAACCTATCATGAATTATACTATCTATAATATAAGCTAAAATTGCTTTTAAGACAGGGTAAAGTGCAGCTACTAGGTTGTTCAGATGATTATGTAAACCTCAACACCAAAAATTTGACTTGCACGAATTATTTGAACAAACTAAAATAATAGCTCTACTCCACCGTGTCCTAAAGGCAATTATAACCTACATAATCTTTCTCTACCACCTCGTCCTATATAAAGTAAATCTACCCTACCCTCTACGACACTATCCTCAAGCGTACCCTACTCAGCCACTTTTCCATCCTGCTTTACTTTACCTTCTCTGTCCTATACTATAAGATCTAGAAGTTTAATAAATGTATTTTAGAGCTAGAACAACTATCGATAGTACCAGTCCATCCAGCCAATCCAGAACTAAAATCAATTCTCAACAATGCCACCCAACTGATAACCAATTCAGCAAAAACTCTACAAAAACTCAGATGTAATCAAGCCATTTTGAAGCATACAAACTTCCCAGCAATAAGCCTCAAATATTGTGGATCACCGGTTCTGAGAATTAGTAAGTCTAACCTACTATGATATACAAAAAGTAATATCAACCATATTATTAGGTTATTCAAGTAATTATGTGCCCCTTCTCATAACAAAATTTCGAGGTTAGGAGACACAGAATTATTTGAACAAGCAACTATAATATAAAAAAAAGTAATGTGAATTCCACTATGATATAGCAATATACAACGAAAGCGAGCTATACTAAATTTAGAAAAAAAAACTTTTAAAATTTTAAAAATCCTAATTTTCTCATTTTCAGACGGCAAGATCTATGGTATTCGACCACCAAAAAGCGAAGATCTTTCCGACTCACAAACACAATTCTCACTGTTAGGAAGAACACGAGAAGTGGATGAAGTTCGACCAGTCGAAACCTTATTTGCTCGAAATATTGAAGACTTTGATCTGGAAGCTCATTCCTACAGCACTTTTTCACAATTAAGGTAAGTTTTTATTGAGGAAGATATAAAACTAGCCTATAAACAGCCCATAAAGCAGCATATGAAACAGATACTTAAGTATTGAAAAAGTACTGTAGGTTGTAACTGTAGCCTTAAAACTAAAAAAAAAGTTTTAGACAAGACTTCAAGCTAAATCCGAACATAAAGATGCTCAAATTTGGCTGGGAATCAGACGAACCAAACAAAACTGGTAGAATCATCAGCACAATAGAAAACCATAGTAAAACTGTAGAAGAAATCATCTTCAATGACACTCAAGTTGTAAGTTTTTAAAGTCGTTATTAGTTTGTTTAAATAATTATGTGCCCCCAAAACTTGGAAACTTGCGATGAGAGGGGCACAGAATTATTTTAACAACCTAATATTATAACTGTACATCAATTTATTGCCTTTTAATATTATTCGAAAGCTATAAGGATAGGTATAAACAAAGAAAATTCCTAAATTTGTTACCTAAACCCTTCTCTTCCAGACACCCTCCCACCTGAAAGACTTTGACTACACTCAACTCCTAAAATACGCCAAGAAATTCAAAGATTACACAGAAATGGTAGCCAATTCATCGATAAAAATTCAATTTCAAGTCGATTTCTGGCTGATCCAAACAAAACAACACTTTCTACGATTCCAACACGAAAACGGGCTCTATTCGAAACAAATCGCAATCAACTACAACAACACGGGTCTTACTGTCACATGGTATGGTAACAATTACTCAGTGAATTTGAACGAATTCGACGACCACGATCTCAGCAGAAAAGTACAAGTCTTTGAAAATACATTGAAATCCTCGGTTGATGCCAAAAATATACCTAATGGTCCTTTCAAGCCTAATTATCTTTGAAATTAGCCTTCCATATTGTTGTTAATGTTATTGTAGATACCATATACAGAATAATAAACGTGTACATAGCTTAATTATGAAAGTTTAACGGAATTAATTATTAGTTTGATCAATGATACAAAATCAAACCCTGCAGGTTCGATTCCGGCTGGTTGCAAATGCCATTTTTAACAAAAACAATGTCTTTACTATAAAAAAAGTTATCAAATACTATTTTAATAGTTATGACAAATAGATTACAAGGCTGCTTCAACGATGCTCCAGAAGTTTTCCCGCTTTCCGTCGTAAAAATGTAGATAAATCAGGGTGTTCGCGGCGGGACCGATAAAACCTTTCGTAATTTTTAGAAAATATTTTTTTGTTATGTTTTTCGGTAACAAAAATATATTTTATAGACAATATGGGTGGTGTTGACGTAGATCGTTCACAACGGAATGGGCATTCAAGTAAGTTTTAATTTTTATTGATTCTTTAGTCTTTTTCTTATTATTTTAGTCGGTGTTTTAGTGTTGTTAGTTTGTTTCTTGATTGAAGCCTTTTCAGAAAGATCGGAAAGGAAGTTTAGTGAAAATCGAACAGAACGAAAACGAAGGAGTAGAAGCAGATCTAAAAGTCCAAGTCGACGTGACAGACATCGGGACAAGGAACGGAGCCGAAGGCGGAGTAGAAGTCCACAAAATGATAAAGAATCAAGGTAATTTTTGTGCTTTTTGTTTTGAATATTAGATGGAAAGACAGCCTGAAGTCATGCGGTGATTTTGAAGCTAAAATTATTAAAGAATCTTTAGGAGTAAAGGGCTTTTAGCTAGTGTTTTACAAAAAGTAAGATTTTTTAGTAATGTAGAATATAAAGGACGGTAGCTTTTCATTGAAACGTTTTAAAATCTTGATTTCTCACATGCTTGACACTCATGGTATTTACTTTATATTTTTATGTATGTTTTAAAAAATTTAGTTTCTTAATATTATTATACTTATTATCATCTATCTATACCATCTTTTCTAGGCATTCTCGAAAACGGCATCATGAATTAGATCGCACTGAAAGCACATCAAAACGAACATTCAGAGAAACTTCAGACACAAATGCAGATAATACAGAACAAAAAGAGCATAAGCCATCGAATATTCAGCAGTTTCACAGTATGAAACATCTGATTATGAAGAAGGCAATTGAAGTCAAGAGCACGATGAAGCCGGGACAAGAGCCTACGTTTAAAACTGAAGCGTTGAAGCCAGAACAAGCTTTGGTATATGCAGACTATCATATGACGAAGGCTGAGAAGAATGCCAAGAAGTTGGAAGACTTGAAGGCGGTATTGGCCAAGAAGATGGGAGCATTGAAGGGTTTGACTGGCATTAACGAAGGTAAGGGGTTTTTTTGATTGTCTTGCTTTTAGGTATGAATATATTACGTCTTTTTTTAGAAGAAACTGTTTTATAACTTTATTTAGGTTCAGAAATAAGAATTTAACAAAAATATTCTTAATTTGCTGAAATTTATAACTAAAACAATATATTCAGAATCAAAAGAACCAGAGCCAGAGAAACCTAAAATGGTATTGGATCTAAAGCCAGAGCTTCCTCAGTTGTCAGTGTTTGACCCAAGGGTCTCATTGAAGAGCGCTAGTCGACCAAGGAGAAGAGGTTTCAATTTTGTTGAACATGGTCAGTTTGCAAAACAAGCTCAATTAGAACGAACACAAGCTAAGTTGGCACAACTGCAGAACAATGTTTCAAAAGTGGCCAAAACTACTGGTATATCAGCGGCGGTAAAGCTGGCTATAGCTACTCCATCAGGTACGGAAGCTCATGATGATTTACCTGAAATGGAATGGTGGGACAAAGTGTTGTTGGAGGATGGAAAGTAAGGATAACATATATTCTTAGGAGCTTGTTTTGAAGCATTTAAAGGTGTTTTGGTTTGTTTTAGCTTTACTTTTTAAAAAGCTTTATACAAAATTTTAGATTATAAAGGTTTTCTGTTTTTTAAAGACTTATTTTAGGTTTGATTCGATACCGTCAGAAGATTTACCATTTGAGCAACGATACGGAAATAAAATCACGAATCTAATTGAGCATCCTGTACAACTGAAGCCTCCAGATGCTGCTCTGAATAATATTCCCATAAAGGTAACATTTTTTTTCCTTTTTAATGTTTTTAGGTATCTTCTACCTCTTCAAGCCTGTGAAATTGGTATTTTATACCTGAAATTCCAAAACAACCGATTTTGTCTCATACGACTTATTTCATGTTGTTTTTGTGTTTACAGCTATATGAACCTTCTGTTTCAGGCCCATCTAACCAAGAAAGAAATGAAAAAGCTTCGTCGAATGAACAGAAAAGAAGTTCAACGTGAAGAAATGGAAAAAGTACGATTGGGACTGAAGAAGGCTCCAGAACCAAAAGTGAAGATGGCCAACTTGATGAGAGTTCTAGGTCAAGATGCTATTCAAGATCCAACCAAAATGGAGAATTATGTTAGGAATCAAGTGGCAGAAAGGCTAAAGAAACATGAACAAGCAAATATGGACAGAAAACTGACGAAAGAACAGAGATCGGACAAGAAAAAGAGGAAAATCATGGAAGATACCTCGATTCAGGTCCATGTCGCTGTTTATAAGTAGGTTTTTGATATTGTTTTATAGGGGTTTTGAAGTTTAAAATTATTGTTTATAATTTTTAAAATCTTTGGGTTCTTTTTTGATGAAAAGTAGCTAAAATGATGCTGTTTTAGCTTCATTTTAACGTTTTCTATACCTAAAAACGAAAGAAAAGTATAATTATAACTTTTTTAGAGTTTTATCCCTCTCCAATCCCAAGAAGAAGTTCCGAGTAGAAAAGAACGCGCGACAACTTCAAATGACGGGTATTATCGTCGCGGTGGAGGATATGCATGTTATCGTAGTGGAAGGCGGCCCAAAACAACAGAAATTCTACAAAAATCTAATGCTAAACAGAACGAAATGGTCGGAAGAGTTGGTCGGCCAAAAGAAGGGCGTAGCTGACGAAGAAGCCGAAGGCCAACGAAACGAATGTATGTTAATATGGGAGGGATTAGTGCCGGCCAGAAGCTTCTCCGACCCTCCACAAATCGTCAGAGCCACGGATCACAAATCGGCCAGAGACTTGTTCCTGAAACATGGGGTACCACACTACTGGGACCACTGCTTCTCGCACTCTGTTCTACTCGAAACAACCGAGTGATCTCTCGTATTGTTATAAAGTTATTTTTTACTAATATAAATGTGATTACTTGTTTTTGGATGAGGAATGTTTCGGTATATCAAATATAGGAGTTTTCCTTTTGGTCTAGATGTAAGATAAGATTCACTAGGGAATTCCTCCAAATATGGTTTTAGGAACCTATATAGGATGAAAGAGCGTAGAAAGTTAAAACCATTTTTGAAAACTGTTGAATAGCTTAGTCCAGCGAGTTACAGTACGCTCTATATTCTTTGATACTTGAAGGGTATATAAGTCTTTAAAGTTTGAAAAATAATACTTTTTTATAAACCTTTTCGAAAAATAAAGGAAAGCAAAAATTATAACTAAAAATACCTTTACGTTAAAGTAGTGCTTAGCTAGCCAAAACGGTTTATCGTAATGGAAAAACTGAGAAAGGTACTTGTTTTGCCAAATTTTTAAAACAAAAGCACAAAAGTTATATTTTGTATTTTGCAGGTTGGTCATAACAATGTTGTCAAGGACGATTTCAGTACGTAGCATAACGTGAAGACAAAAATTCTTTAAAAATTCGAAGTTTCTGTTTTGAAACCCGAAATTTCAAAATTTGGATTTTATAGGTCATTAGCTAGACACTTAAACTAGTTTTGTATTAGGCTGTTCATGTAATTCTGCGCCTCATAAAATTTGTTTTGAGAGAGGGCTTAGAATTATTTGAACAACTCTTTATTTAGTAATATTTTTAGTTGTATTTTTAAAATTTTAAATGGTTTGTTTGTAGGTACTGTAACAGAATGTAAAGCTCAGTAATATTATCTTTATAGGTAAACCGACAATGCCATCTCAACTACACCTAGCTATTTTAATTTCTGTCGTCTTTGTTTTTGCATTTGATTCGGCTGCTTTCTTTACTCCGTGTTGGAGGAAACTAGCTGAGGGCAACAGTGTTGGACTGGTAACTTATCATTGTACCTCATCTTCTTGTTATGATTTTAAAGACGTAAGGTGCTTATGAGCTATGTATGATACATTATACAACTTTACAACAAAGATTTTTAAGAACCCCCCTACCTGGCAAAGCACTAGTAAAGGATTAATGGGAGCATGTTTTGTGGCAATAGCAATCAAGTTGATTCTTACTGTGTTAACAATTACACGCCCAAAATCAAAGTGCATATTAGTCTTGGATGCCGTCTTGTCTGTTGTAGAAATACTCAAAATTACGGCAGTATTGATACTCTACGCCATCAAAAGTGATGACTATTTTGGGAGTTATGGTGGTGAGTACCATGTTAATATGTAGCTCCTTTTTGATTTTTTTAAAAGAAGTTTTTTTATAATAAAGGCCTTGTTATGGCCAACAAAATATAATATCTTTTCTTTTGTGTTACCTAAAGAAGCATATTTTACCTAAAGTTTAAGAAAACAAAATATTTTCATGCAATTATTAACCAAAACTTTCAGACTCTTCAAATTCAGCATCTTCTACAGCCGCTTACTTCTCAAACACCTCTGGTTATAGTTATTGGCTAGCGTTGGTTGGTGGTATTTCCACCGTAATTATGGCAATGTTATCGATAATTTCGGCAATATTAGCTTTTAATTGAGATTTGTACACGACTGTTTTACTAAACGAAATAAATTTATATGAACTTATGAAATATTGAGAGCTATACCTATTTACTAAACTTGTCAAATAACCTTTTATTATAAGCAAGGCCGGTCAGATGATTTTAAATCACAAAAATTGGGTCAGGTAGTTATTTTTCAAAGAATAATATAGGTGTTAAAGGGTTACGGAGTCGGCATGTTAGCTGAAGCCGGAGTGGGAATTTGTGAAAAAACAAAGCCAGAACAAAAAATTTTTGTATTTTAGTACTAAACACTCGCGAAGCTAAATCTAAAATTGAAAAAAAGCGAAGCTGGAGCTGTTGCCAAAGGAATCGATGAAATTCAGTACTGTTTTGGCAACTTTGACCTATGCATTAGCAGAGACAATACCATGCAAAGCAAGGTATTTTCTGTTTGGATCGAGGTTTATTGTTGGACCTCTAAAAATTTTAAAATTGGAAAAAAGCAGAGCTGGAGTTGTTACCGGAGAAATTGATGAATTTTGGTACTAAAGGCTCAAAAACTTTTAAAATTGGAAAAACTGGGAAGGAGAGAGGAAGAGAAGACAATCAAAATTAAACAAAAATTTCGATGAAAGATTTTCTTTATTTGCCATCTCTAACGCTTGGCCCTAATTGTAAATAGTACAATACTAGTTCCTTGTTTAACAGTTATTAATTTGCTTGTTTGCTATTGTGAAACAAAAATGATTGTATAATACCTTAAAGGTCTAGTCCAACAAAACGTGATTAAAATATGCAAAACTATACTTTTTTGCAGTTTAAGCTTGGGAATTCACTTTTTAAAGCTAAAAAATCTTCAATTTTGCTATCTTTTTTTTTGTAATTTTCTTTTATATATTTTATATATATATCTTATATATAATATAGTTATTCAAAGAGTAAATTTTTTAAAAAATTTTTATACAAAGACGTTTAATAATACATACATCACTTCAGATGACTAACAAAAATTCTATAGAAATAGATAGAAAAATAATCAACGACGTCGTAGAACCTTCTGAAGACGTTTTCAAGCTTCAAAAAGGCATAGCTGATGTAAATAATAGTGAAGTAGAAGCTAACAGTTCGCTGATAGTAGAGGAAACTCCATGGTGGTCGATTTACATCACTGCATTACTTGGTTTTTGTCAAGCAGTACAATATACATTGTATTTTACTTCTACTTGGCCGTATCTTCAAGTTGTAGGTTTTTCAGGGTAATATACAAATCATTTGTAATATAGTATAATATACAAATAAGGTGTTTTAGAATAAGGTAAAGTAAGGTAGGGCAGGGTGAAGTAGGGTTTTTTAATTTACTTAAATCAAAAGTAATATTTTAGATAGACCGCGAATCCACAGAGCAATTCTACGGTGCAGTAGTCGCATCCTACTCGATTGGTCAAATCATGTCAGCACCCTTGTTTGGCTACTGGAGTAACAGGTCAAAGAGTGTGAAAGGTCCATTGATAGTATGTTTGATATTGTCCATGTTTGGCAACTTGACCTACGCATTGGCCGAGACAATACCATATAACGCAAGGTACTTTCTCTTTGGGTCAAGGTTTATTGTTGGATGTGGCAGTAGTTATGTCAGTGTACTGAAGAGTTATGTGGCTATGGCTAGTACACAATTGGATCGGTCTCGGGCGGTTATTATTCTAACTAGTGGGCTTTCTTTTGGGCATCTTGGTGGGCCTGGTAAGAAATTTAAATCTGACATTTTTTAAATATTTTTTTGAAAAAAATTTTAGTTTTAAATTTTAAAATTAAAAAAAAATATTTTAGTAATTCAAATGATATTCACTATATTTGGGTACCCTGGTACTAGTATACTAGGAAGAATGCATTTCAATATGTATACCTCTGCTGCGTACTTTGCTATAGCTATGAATGTTATTGCCATGACAGTATTACTTAAGTTATTTGATGAAAAGTACGCTGGAATTCATAAATCTGTATTGGAAAAGGTAACTTCTACTTTTTCTGTTTACTTTAGTGATATAAAAAGAGGGTAGGGTAGTTTATATAGACCATAAAAAGTGTACTATATGTTGTAGCATAATATGTGTAGAAAAAATGGAACAAAGAGTAATTTAAAAACGTATTTTACACTATTTATTATTTTTTTTAACTTTTATGGTTATAAAATTACGTTTTAGAAGTCAAAAGAAGACAAAGAGGCCAATCCAAACAAACTACCACCATACGACATGACAGCAGTAGTTCTATGTCATTTAACTGTCTTTGCAAGCGCATTCACCTTTTACAATCTCGAAACGTAAGAGCTAAAAACTTTACATACTTGTATCTACTTAGGTATCTATTATAAATTAGGAACCTAATTCTATACACTTCTTTTATTCAGTTTAAACTCTCCGATTGGAATAACAATTTTTGGCTGGACTAAAAAGTTATCAGTTCAAATGTTGGGCATTGTGCATGCCTGCACAACTGGCGTTTCTACAACACTTTACCTTGTGTTATATTTCTTCAAATTGGATAAACAGTAAGTATTTTTCTTTTTTTAGTACCTTGTAGAACTTTATTACACAAATAACATTGCCCAAATTATTTTTTGGTTTCACCGATATGAAGTTTCCGTCAGTGTTTTACCGGATCGGGTCCGGTCCGGATTTTCAAAAATTGCAAGATTGAAAATAACTTTTAAGCTTATGGCTTGAAGTTTTAAAAAATAAATAACTTTTGTGAAGGTCCGTCTCATACAAGTTCCTCGCTAAACATTTGGACAGGCCGGACCGAATCGGTCTTGCCGGTCCGGGCGGTCCATTTCGGTAATAACTTGGTAACCAAAGACGGACCTTCACAAAAGTTATTTATTTTTTAAAACTTCAAACCATAAGCTAAAAAAGTTTTTTACAATCTTGCAATTTTTAAAATCCGGACCGGACTGGTCCGGCAAAACACTGGTTTCCGTATTTTACAGTAACATATTATGTTTTAAAAGCCCCTATTTAACTTTATGACTTACAAATTCAATGTTTTTAGTATGAACCTTCGTCGACAAATTGTTCTAGCCTTTTGTGGTTTTCTGATATTCCACTTGATCACGTTCGCTTGGCCATTTTTGGGTGGACATTTGGAAACGTATACCCAAGCAGGTAAAATACGGTTTTTTTAAATTCTGATGTTAGTCTTTATTAAAATGATAAAAAAGCAATAAAGAATGTCTACTATAAACAAGTTTTCTTCAAAAAAAAAAAAAAAAATTTTACTTTAGCAATAGACAATATTATAAAACCTTTTATTTAATTTTTTCCAGAATACGATGCAGCTTTAAACAATGGCACAGAGATAACTGGTTGTAATACGGATCGTTTTGACTGGTGTTATGATACACCAAGTCAGAATGTATATGTATTTTATGTGTCATTTGTGGTGTTTGTTGGCTTTTGTATTCCTAATCTCAACATTACTGTCAACACATTGTTCTCTAAGATATTGGGACCTAGAAGAATTGTGAGTTTATTTCTTATTATTTTACTTTCTACTACTATAATATGTAAACTGTGTTTAACATATTTTACTTACATTTACTACTGTAAAACAGCTTATTATAAGGGTAGTGTAGAGTAATATAAAGCACTTTATAACTACAATATTGATAACGATAACACTATTACATTCCAGGGCACCCAACAAGGAATTCTTCAAGTAGTGACAAGCCTAGCCAGACTAAGCGGCCCAATAGTGGCTAGTCAATTCTTTCCTTTATATGGTTCTAGAGTACCTTGGATTGTAGCTATGATTGTGTTAAGCACTGTAATAGTAACATGGCTCATTTTGTATAAACGAATGGTACCATTACAAATACCAAGCAACGAAAAAGGCACAATAAGCCAAGATAACGAAGATGCAAAAGAAATAAATGACAAAGAAGAAAAGAAAAATAGATTACAATTTTAAGTCATTGTAGATTGTTTACATATACTGTAACAATAAATTTGCATTTTTTATTTTCTGGACTGACAATTTAATAAAGAATAACATAGCAAAAAATTATTTAAGGAAGGGTAGGGAAGGGTAGGGTAGGGTAGGGTAGAATAAATACTTTGTATGTTCAACACACACAGTCCAGACTATACCAAATTAGATCTTTGAATTCTCATAGAATATAGTAGTTTATTGCCTGGTGTGCAATTCGTATGTTAGAATTGACAAAGCCAATCTGATAAGTCTAGTTTGAGAGTCCGATTTGTAAAAGTGATCAAAATATGCAAAGTTGACGTTGTTCTCATTTTAAAAACTGCTTTTTCAGCTCAACTTTTGACGTGTGGCTTTAGCTTTGTTTTTTGTTGGTATAGCGTAGTATTTTTTGATATTACTCATGTTTATGGTCATTTTTTTAATTTAAAAATCAATTTTGAAGTTTAAAAAACAGAATTTAAAAATATTTCAAAATTTTGAAATTTGAAGTATTTTTGAAGTTAAACTTTTTGAAATTTTGATTAAAAAACTCAAACTTTTATCAATGTTATTACTATATAAACATAAACTTTTATCATTAGACATGTTTTTTAGTATATAATAGGTTATCAGCTGTTATGATGTTATAATAGAGAGCTATTGGTCAGTTGAGAAACTAGCTACTTGATCAATGATGTATCATATCAAGAGTAAAGTGATCTGTGTACAGTTATAAGTGGCCATATTTCATAATTTTGAGATTTATCTAAATATGCTTTCGTTTGTGACAGTATCATGTTGTATGTAAGAGGCTCGGGCAGAAGAGAGGGGACGTTTTTTAAGTTGGTAAGAGAATGGGGGAGGGAGAGAAATGTAAATTTTTTTCCAACTTTTCAATTTTTGATTATTTTTTTGAATTAGCAAACCTCATACCTTGTTTCGAAAAAAAACTTTTTACATAGAAGGGGGGGGGGGGATACTTAAAATTCTTTCCCAAGCAGTATTTTTACGTGCCATTATATACATTCTTTAGTTATAACCAATAATGTATCTTATTCCAGATGGCTCTCAGAAATTCTATTGAAACAGATAGAAAAGGAACCAAAGAAACAGAAAAGAAACAAGCTGAAGATGATCTTTTTACTACATCTAAAGATATCTCAGATTCAACTAGTAGTAGTAGTGCCACTACTATAGCAACAGAAGACTCAGTGATAGTAGCGAAAACACCATGGAAGTCAATTTACATTACTGCAGGGCTTGGGTTTTGTCAAGCAGTACAGTTTACGTTGTATTTTAGTTCTACTTGGCCTTATCTTCAAACTGTAAGTTTTCGAGGGTAAAATACGAATTCAAAGGGTAGGGTATAGTAACACGTGTTTTGGTTGCTTTAATTTAAAATAACATTTTAGGTAGACCGAAAGTCTACTGAACAATTTTACGGCACAGTAATAGCTGCCTACTCGATTGGTCAAATCATGTCAGCACCATTCTTTGGCTACTGGAGCAACAGAGCCAGAAGTGTAAAAGGTCCACTGACAGCATCTTTGATTTTATCTATGATTGGCAACTTTTCCTATGCTTTGGCCGAGACTATACCTCACAATGCAAGGTTTTTTGTGCTTGGAGCTAGGTTTATTGTTGGATGTGGAAGTGGATATGTTAGTGTACTAAAGAGTTATGTAGCTATGGCTAGTACACAGTCAGATCGATCTAGAGCGTTTGCTATTCTTACTGGTGGACTGTCTTTGGGACAGACTACTGGGCCTGGTAAGGGATTTTGAGACGATAGGGTTTAATATCAAAGAACAGTATAATGTAATTAAAAATTTTTTTTTAAAAAGGGCGCAGAATTAAGTGAACGACCTAATAGTATCAAAAACTTTGGAATGTTCTGAATTAAAATTTTAAAATTTAAAAACTTGTTTCAGTGATTCAACTAATATTCACCATTGTGGGCTACCCTGGCTTACATATGATAGGAAGAATGCAGTTCAATATGTATACAGCTGCTGCTTATTCAGCTATTGTAATGAACTTGATAGCCATGATGGTATTACTCAACTTATTCGAAGAAAAATATGCTGGAATCGACAAATCCATATTGGAGAAGGTAACTTTATACTGAGGTTTAAAAGAAAAAAAATTTTAAAAAAAATTTTTACAAAATTTTTTAAATTAAAAAAAATTATTTAATTCTTATACCGTATTTTACAAAAAAAATTTTATAATGAAAAATGGCATATTCAGAAGTCGAAAGAAGAAAAAGAAGCCAATCCAAACAAACTACCTCCATATGATATCATAGCTGTAGTTGTATGTTACTGTACAACATTTGCTCAGCGGTTCACTTTTGTCAATTTGGAAACGTAAGTCTTGGCAATTCTTTTTAAAACTAAAATAGACAGTAATTTACAGTAAGACCAATAACTTTAAGTAAGAGTAGTGTAAGCGCAAAAACTTACTGTAAGAAATTCAATTACCTCTCAATTTGTTCGGTTTTTCTAGTCGTATTTTAGATTTAAAAAGCATAAAAACAGAAAAAAACATTTACAAATATGAAAAAAATGTTTAAAATTAAAATTGATAAAAATTGTTTTACAGAATGAATCCCCCAATCGGAATGTCAATTTTCGGATGGACTAGAAAGACTACAGTACAGCTTTTGGGTATGGTGCATGCTTGCACAACCGGCGTTTCATTTCTTCTTTATCTTGTGTTTTTGGTCTTCAAATTGGACAAGTAGTGAGTTTTTTACCCAGTTAATTTTTGATAAAGGTCAAAAAGCGGTCATTATATGTAGGGTAACACAATATTGAGACACATACTTTGAGGGTCATAATAAAGAGACTTTACTTTAAGTCTCTACCGGTACAAAGTATAGTATTATTGACATTCATACCCTTCTTTATTACATATCTTTAGTATGAACCTCCGTCGACAAATTGTGTTAGCCTTCTGTGGTCTACTGCTGTTCCACTTGGTCACATATGCTTGGCCGTTTTTGGGTGGAAACTTGGAAACTTATACTCAAGCAGGTAAAATACGCGTTAATTAAATTCAAATATTAAATCTAACAGAGGAAGAGCGAAAAAAATAAGAAATGCTCACTATAACAGTATTATCTTTCAAAAATAAAAGAATTTATTAGTTATAGGCAACAACTATAGTCATAAATACAAAATAAGCATTAAAAGTTTCAGTTCATTTAACTTTTTCAGAATACGACGCAGCCTTAAACAATGGCACAGAGATAACTGGTTGTAATACGGATCGTTTTGACTGGTGTTATGATACACCAAGTCAGAATGTATATGTATTTTATGTGTCATTTGTGGTGTTTGTTGGCTTTTGTATTCCTAATCTTAATATTACTGTCAACACATTGTTTTCCAAGATTTTGGGACCTAGAAGAATTGTAAGTTTACTTCTTATTGTTTACTGATGCTAACATCGTATTTTACATTGATTTATGGCAGTAAAACAGCTTTCTCTTCTAAAATCAATTTTCATTTTTACTTATAACAACAATGCCATTTATAATATTAATATTAATATCTACTACAGGGCACCCAACAAGGCATTCTTCAAATGTCAGGAAGTGTAGCCAGACTAATCGGTCCAATCCTGGCCAGTCAATTCTTTACTCTATATGGCCCACAGATTCCCTGGATTATGGGTATGGTTGTGTTAGGTTCTGTTATTGCAACATGGTTGATTTTACACAAACGTATGGTACCATTACACATTCCAAGCAACGATCCTACTACCGCAAGCCAGGATAATAAAGAAAAGAAAAACGAAAAAGAAGAAAAAATAGAAAAACAACGATTTTAGATTTCTTTAGTATAATGTTTTTTATATTTTTTTAAAATTTTTTACTTTTGTTACTTTGCCAGTGGTGTATGTATGTGGTGTATGTACTCTTGGCAAAAGATGATTGTATAAATACTGGAATGAACTATAAATTGACATTACTTTTTTATTGTTAAAAAATTAAAAGGAATGACAACAGTAAGACAAAGAAAGGGTAAAAGATTAGGAAAATTACAGGAAACAAGAAGAAAAATGTAAGAGTAAGGCTAGAATACACCATAATAAAGCTAGGACAAGGCAAAGTTACAGTAAGTTTAGTGTGAGGGTAAGACAAAGATAACGCAAAGTAAAAGAAAAGATCGTTTAAGAGAAAGGCAGGGTAATAATGCAAGAATATGGCCAGAGAAGGGCTAGAACAAGGCAAGCGAAGAGCAAAGGCAGGGTTACCGTAAAACAAAAGTAACAATAGGGTAGGGTAATTGTAGGGTATAGACAGTGCAAAGTACAGGCTAAAGCGAAGGAAGCATAGAAGAAGATATAGCAAATGTAAGGTAGTAGGTAGAGCATGCCAAGCTTATTGATAACACTTTTTGAAAAAAATTGCTAAAGTAACAGTCATGCGCTTGAATTTATAATTTTAACCTTTTATCTACCTAAACTATCCTGTTAGCTCGCGCTTCCAAATTTTTCCGCAAAATATTGGAATAATTTTGTTTACGCACCGAATCGAAGCCGATCGACCACGATGACCGTTTTGGCGGCTGAACTTTTCGAAAATCGAGAGCGAAAAGTTCGAACAAATGCAAGGTCGAGACCTTACGTTGAGACAAAATAAATTGTAAGTGAAGGGGAGAAGGCAAAAACTCTTCTTTTTTCGATCGAACGTTTGAGGCAAATGGAGATTAAAATATTTGGGGTAAATATTTTCATTTCGAGGGCTTGATTTGGAGCAATTTTTTGTGTTTTAGGTAATATTTTTGGGGGAAATGAGGGAATATTGGCTAATATTGGGGTATATTATATTTCTTGGTATGGGTAACACAAATAAAGGGTTGATTGAGGATTTTTAACTAAAATAAAGCACTTTTTTCAAAAAAAATTTTTTTCAAAAATATTTTTACACCAAGTTCAAAAACTTCGAAAAAAAATTTGAAAATAAAAAAAAAAAAAAAGGTCCAAAATTAATATCTTATCCTACCGTTTCACCTAAATGCTTCCAAATCCTTGTTCGTTTCAATTCGAGCGCCATTTTTAATTAATTTTTGATTAAAATTTGATATTTGTCATCGATAATCGCGATCACAAGATTGTTCTGCTTCCACTCGCTTTTTTATATCAAAACAGGGCTTTTCAAAACATTGTTTTAGGTTTTGAGGGTTTTATAGTAACAGTAATGTATGAGAACAATGTTTATTTTTTGGTTATCAATAAAAGATTGGCAAGAATAGCAGTTTGGTTAGTGATAATGAGGCTTTTTACATTGGTAGTCCGCGTTTAATGAGAAGTTACGACACTTTTAAACTTGAAAAACATGAGGATTTACTATGCCATTCTTTATTAGAAGAGTATGAATTAGAAGAAGGGCAGGCTTTTGAAATCCACGAAATTTTACAAAAACGGCACAAAACTGGGAGCGTAAACCACGTCGAACTTTTATCTTTGTCACTCTCATAAATCTTTTTTATGTTTTCTTTTTTGGGAAAAGGCCGCCACAAATCTCGCGGAATCCGTGTTCAACTCAGAAGTCGCAGATTTTATTCGTCTTTTACATATGTTTAACTTCGTTTTACTGCTGTTGGCTTACATAGGATTTTCAGAGAATTACACAGGGTTTGCTTAGAGGGACATGAGGTTTGAGGGTAGGGTAGGATAGTATGTTTAAAAGTTGGGGGTTAGAGCAATAGTTTAAAGATTTGAAGGTAGCATGGTATTATATTTTTATTTTCTAGCACGTGGCTGCATTTTAAAACTGTTTTTGATGGGGCGAAAGAGATTTTAATTTTTTTGAAGAGATTATGGCAGGGTAGAAAGAGGAACAGGGTTGAGGGCAGAGGTATTTTTAAAGTAAAGCAAAGTAAATTTAGCTTTAGGAGACAGGGTAAGTAAGTATAGGGTAAAATAGAATAAGCTAAGGGTAGGGTAGGGTAGGGTAGGGCTGGGTGGGGGCTTTTGAGGGAAGTTCTCAAGCAAGTCCCTCCAAGTAGAGCTCGAAATGACTCACAGTAAAAGTTTACGCTAGTAGTAACCAGTAAAACTGTTTGCATATTTTTGTTTGTTTGCTAAACTCTTTGTTTCTTTTATGCTTTCGTTTTGCTAGCCAAAGCCTTTATTCTTTTAGTTTTTGCAGGGAAATTGAAATTTTATATAAATAATAATGGCAGGATTGAAGGCTTCTTCTTATTTTCGTGTTGTGTATATACACTTTACTATGTAAAACTGTTCTAAATATAAACTTATGATTAATTGCAACTAAATATACGTTTTAAATTATTTTTTTACTTTATTTCAATTTCCATTGTTTTGCAAAATGACATTAAAATATGAGTAAACAGCTTTTTTGCAAAGGTTGTGCTCAAATTTAGGTGGAGGTCGCGAGGTTTTTTTGATTTTTTGGCTAATTTGTGAATCAGATAAGGCGCGTCAATGTTTTGTTTTTATTGTGTTACAATGAATTAATGTTTTTAAGTACTGCAAAGGTTTAATAAGCAAAGTTCTTTGACTTATCATAACTTCTTGACACTGTTTTAAAATTTATAGGCTAAACTAAGCTTTAAACAGCGTAAAAATTGACTTTAATGAGGTCTTATCAATGTCAAAACTTAAAAAAATGTTTTTTTTAATTTAAATTAAGTTTAAGTTTAAGGAATAGGGTACAAAAGATAGTAATTTGTAAAATACGAGAGCAACATGTAGGTTTAACTTTTTAATTATTTTTTTTTAAATTTGACGTTAAGTTGAATTAAAACCCTTTCACCTCACTTTAGCTACTTCACTCTTTTGTCTTTCTCATTAATCGTTAAGTAACCTTGAATTTGTTTTTGAGGGCGCGAAAGGAGCTCAAGGTGGGTGAACGAGTGGTAAAGGTGGCAGAGGGAAAAATATTACAAATATGAATTATGGTTCTTTTAAAATTAATAATTTTAAAGGTATTTTAAAAGTATTTCAATTATTAGAGAAACAAAATTTTTTTAGAAGGGAAGGGGGGGGGGGAGAGTGAAGCGCGTATAATGGGGTAGGGCAGGGTAGGTAGGGTCAGTACACAAGTAGTGTAAGTTAAGATTTTAATTTTTTACAATTTTTATTTAAAACAGCATTGGGTGGGTTGTTTTTACGTGGGTTAAGTGTATTAAAGGGCAGGGGAGGGGAATGAGATAAAATTAAAATTTTTTTCTTAAATTTTGAAATTTTTAAAAATATTTTAGGAGTTGTACTTTTAGCTTTAAAAAATTATATGATTTTCTAGCCGTTTTACCCTATCTTGCTCTTTAAAGCCATACTTGCATTATTCTACTCTACTTTACCTTATCGCAACTTACCCTACCCTATTTGGCTTTTAAGTCTTACTCGGTTACCTATAACAAGAGTCTATACTATAATTTAGGTGTATTTTAATTTTTTTTTGAAGACAAACATAATATCAATCTTATAATCATTAATTTCCAGGTTAAAAGCCCTCTATTATATTGACCAAGCTGGACCTGACAAGTCGGAGCAGTAGCAGCGCATCCGAGCGCAGTACGGAGCTGAAGAAGCGAAAGAAGGAGAAGGTGGTTGATATCACACCATTCTTCAAAAGTGTCACAGGATCGGAGTTTTGGAGTTGCATACCATATCATTACACACAAGCAGCTAGGTCGTTTACAGAGTTACCTCATTCTAGTCAATGTATAGTCGGAGACAGAGCTGGCGGGATACGATTGTTGGAGGTTGATAGGTAAGTACGGTGCTTTGAAGTAGCTTGGGGTAAGTGGGTAAGTAAAATACGAGATGTTGTCATATTTATGGGAGTTGCTTGCTTAGTCTTATCTTTGTAGGTTTAGGTATACACTAACCTTTTCCACTTTCAGTGAAGTCGAAGAACTGGACAAGAAGCATAACGTTCATGCTTCAGAAATCGTCGATATCTGTGTAAACCCAGCAGCCAATCTAGTAGCCTCAACGTCTAACGAAAAATATGTAAATTTAATGTCAATAAAAGATGACAAATTTGGAAAAGCTGACCGACTAAAGACTGATCAAGCCGTTCGATCGTTGGTTTGTGTAGAAGACTACCGTAACGGATCCAATGCACTGTTATGTGGTTGTAAACAAGTGATATTGGCATATGATTGTGTTACTCGAAAATGTTTTGGCACAATGTTTAATCATCAGAGTGGCAGTACGATCACCAAGCTGAGTGGTGTTGAAGGTTGTTTGTTGTTGAGTGCTACAGCTGACAGATGTAACCAGTTGTGGGATATTAGGGTACAACGACCGGTCCGGAGCTTTGATGCTATTAGTAAAAGTAGGTTGGGCTAGAGTATTGTATGTAGGCTAAGGAGGGTTTTTAAGGGTAGATTAGTGTAGATAGGGTAGAGTACGGTAGGTAGGGTAATGTAAGGTAAGGTAAAATAAGGTTAGGATAGAGTAGGGAAAACTAAAGAGAGCTGCTACTACTACTGTAGCATACTGTAAAAAGTTAAAAATTGAAATTTTTAGCAACTTTGGCAGCCGGTGCTCATGTCGACAGCTCAGGCAGAGTATTGGCTCGCATTGATGGGAATGACATGCTATATTTTCATGATATTGATACTGGGAAGTTGTTCCACAAGCATCAGATACCAAATGTTCAGGGACAACTTACTGCATTGAGGTTCACACCTGTTCAGCGATTTTTAGCTATGTCTGATAGTCAAAGGTAAGATATACGTTTACTTTTACATCAGTCTATCTGTATAAAGATATGTGATTATATACATTAACATCTATTAGGTTATTTAAATAATTTTGAGCTTCCTTTCAAAGTATATTTCCAAACTTTAAAAAAATGTTAGGAGCACAGAATTATTTGAACAACCTGCTACATAACCTATACATAGGCCTCTTCAGGCTCTTGAAATAATCTGTGATAACTAAACTATATATTAATGTACATATTACAGTATATACCTCATGGACTGGAACCACCCAACCAGTGCAATAGCCTCAAAGCCAATTGGTACCGTCCTCCCAGATGATAAGGTCACAAAGATACGATGGCACTCCACGAACAAACAATTTTACTGTGCTGCTAATACGGGATTTCAAACATTTCAATTTTCAGAGCAATTTGATTAACTTTTTTCACATTTTTATATCGTATGTATGTTGTAGTAGGGACTGTAACTAGTATTTTACAGTTTCATAATGTATATGTTGCAGTAATATCATATATTTTGCAGTAATACTATATATGTTGTGTATCGTAAACAGTACTATATTTAGATACCGTAACTAGTACTATATGACTAACATACATAGGTGTTGATATATAGACAATTTATTTTTTACTATGAACGGTTATATAACTATGATCACTTTAATAAAAAACCATATTATCTTATTGTATGTTTACTTTTTATTACAATGTAAAACAATGTTATGTACAAAATATTTAAAAATTACAATACAATACGTTTTTTCACATTACAGTAAGATAAATAAACCAATTTTTATAAAATTAGGTTAAAAAAGTGAAATCAATTAAACTTATGCCGTTTTGGAGGATTATAATGCAAAAAGTCAATAAATCCAGTACAATATACAAACAACAACATAATCAGAATGAACGCACAAGCCATAGAAACATAATACAGAAGTTGAGGATAACAAGAAGTATGGATCTTTTTAGTTTTGTAGTATGGAGATATGATATAGGGCTCCAAGTCGGTAGAACAGTGGCTTGAACAAGGTGACATTGTAGTAGTATTGGTGAGAAACACTTTCTCGTAGTCAATGTTAGAGGATTTTACTTTGTACATGGTTGCTGTAATATTTAGAGTCAAGAAAGTGTTAAAAATAAGCTAGAACTAGGCTAGCACTAAAGTTATAATTAGGATTAGAACTAGGAATAGGGCTCGGGCTCAAACTCAAGGCATGAATAAAACTGAGGCTGGGGCTAGGGCTAGGGTTGAAGTTGAGACTGTAGCTAAGGTTGTAGTTAGAGCTCGGACTGAGGTTGGGGATGGGGCTGGGGCTGGGGCTGAGGCTGGGCCTAGAGCCAGAGCTAGATCTAGAGCTAGAGCTAGAGCTAGAGAGCTGGGCTAAGCCTGAAACTGGGGCAAAATCTATGACTAGGATGGAGCAAAAGATATTAAAGATAAGGCTAGAGTAAGGCAAAAACATATTTTTTAAAATTTAAAAAAAAACTTACAAGGAGTATGTTCTAGTAGTCAAAGTACGTTCGACAAGTTCAATTGCAACATTAAAAATTGAGCAAACAATCAAATAAACCGTGAGCAAATGGAAGGTAAATAACCGCTTTAGTATTCTACTTCACAGTAGTTTTATTCTGATAGAATATAGCGGTAGATTTAATATCTAAACGTAGTAATGATAATATTGAAGGTAGTACAAATTCTTTAGCTTTTTAATTTTTTTTTGGTATTGAATGGTCATAACATTACTATTCCTTTATAAAAACTAAATTCAGACCATAATGTTAGTTTATTATACGGTATATTGTGACTTACCTTACTATAGCCTAAAAATTAACAATATGACAATTTCAACCAAAATTTGAAACTTCAAAATCTCAACGTTTTACTTTTCGAAAACTCCAGAAATTACGTAAAAATAACAGTTTGCAGCTGGCGGAAAACAAAAAATAGCCGGTTTCGAAAAAAAAGAAGAATCTTTTCTAACCTTGTTTTTGCAACCCCAAAAAGAACCGCCTGCCTTTTCCATCAGATCGAGGATACTTGGAGCGACTATTGTAATGCCATCTGACTCTTTTGATTTACGACATTAAATCATTTTTTCATTTTAATGTTTTGATGACAACAACACACTTTGTCTATCATAACAGTAGTCGCTACAAAGGACAACAATATTTAAGCTTGGGGTAAGGGTAGAAGTAAGAGTAAGTGTAAGGGTTGGAATAGAGGCAAGTGTAAGAGTAGAAGTAAATATAGGAATAGAAGTAATGGTAGAAGTAGAAGTAATGGTAAAAGTGGAAGTAGTGGTAAAAGAAGGGTATGAGTATGAGTAAACCCAGTGCAAGAACAAGAGGAAGAGTCGAAGCAAGGGTAAGAGTAAGAGTAAATATATAAATAGAAGTAATGTTAAAAGTAAGAGTAAAAGTAAAAGTAAAAGTAAAGGTAGGAGTAGGAATAGGGTTAAAGTAGGGGTAGAATTACGGGTAGAAGAGTAGTAAAAAAGGCATGATTAGAAGTAGTGGTACGGGCCAGGGTATGAGTAAGAGCACGGACAAGAATATGAGAAAGAACCAAGACAAAGGTATGAATAAGAGTAGAAGCTTTTTAATTAACGATAGTCAAGGTTTTGCAGAATTTTAAAAACTTAATAAAAACAGAATCCTTCACCGACTTACTGCTACAAACATCGTTATCTCATGAAGAACTGTAGCGATCTAGGTTGATGTCATTCGTATTGAAAATGCTAATGGGAAAAAGCTTTTGAAAAACAATAATTAAATTAAGTTTCAAAAATGACCCAAACAAACAAAAGTGAAACAAAACAAAGTAAAAATAAAAAAATTAGTAATCCTCGACTTTACAGAGTTCTAAATCACTCTGTACTTTAGTACTTTTGACTTTTTCTTATCTTACTCTACCCAGTCTTGCTTTAGCTTATCTTTTTCTTACCTTTCTTTACCTTTCTCAATTTTTCCTTACTTTACCCTACTTTATTCTACTTTACTCTGTCCAATCTTACCTTGCCTTACCTTACCCTACTTTACACTTCCTTACCCTACAGCACAAAACCTTATATGGTAAAAGTTGCTTGCAACCCTTCTTTTTTATATCTATAAGTTACGGATGTTTTTGTTTCTCCTTATATTGTAATTGTTTGGTGAGACGAAGAAGTAAAGTAAGAAAGTACTCAAGCATTATTCAATCCATCGCTACTCAATTATTATTGTTTCCAGCTTTTAGTTTCCGGAGTTTTTGTTTCTTATATACTATTATAATTTTATTTTTTTGTTAAAAATTTTAATTTTCTTATTTTTATTATTTTGTATCCAACGTATTTTACAAAAACATTATTCTCATAAGCATTTTATTTAATTCTTTAGAACAAAATCACTTAAAAAACAAAAAATAACTTATTTACATTACATTTCATGAAACAAAGAAAGTAACAAAAGTGTTATTTAATTCGCGTTTAAATGGAAGCAGCGTGGCGCAGCGGAAGCGTGCTGGGCCCATAACCCAGAGGTCGGTGGATCGAAACCACTCGCTGCTAACAAGTTTTTTGACATTTGACCTAAAGTTTTTTTGATAAAAATGTGTTTTACAATAGGACATCAATGTAGGTAACACTTAAGAACCAAAATTCATTTGCCTTATTAGCTATTGCTTAAAACTTTTTTTAATTTAGAGCTAGAGAACTAGTCCCAGGGCTAGTTTCACAAATTATTTGACCCCTCTTCCATCTAAAAGTCTTTTTCCTAGCCTTGTATATAACAATATTTATATGAATATAGATATGCTTGTATTTATATGACCAGCCTTTTTTTTTAATTCTGTAGGTCAACAGATTTGTGAATCATGATGACTTTCCTTTTGTCTTCTTTCGACTAATATTTCAGTCCGCTTGAAACCCTTGACCTTAATGTGCAAATTTTGGTATTACAAGGCAAAAACGACCTTTAATGTGTTACGACAAAAAACCTATACTGCTTTTATAGGATTGTAATGTAAAGGTTTTGTTTCTTGGTGATTGACATAGAAAGTTTGGAGAGAAAGTTGGGAATGATTGGAAAAGCAGAGCAAATAATTCTAGTTTTCAAGGATATTAAAGAAGGTAGGGCAAATTAGGGTAAGTTAGGGTAGGATAGGACAGGGTAGGGTAAGGTAGAGTAGGGTAAGGCAGGGTAGGGTAGAATATATTTTTAAACCGTTGAATTAAAAAAAAGTTATTTTCGCAAAGTTATAAAAATATTTTTGATGGTATATTATGTCATCTAAAGTAAAATATGTCCTTTTCTTGCAAATCCCAGTTTGATATTATTTTCACTTTTTGCCTTGTTAACGTTATGTTAGTCTAAATAGAATAGAATTTCAAAATCAGCTTCAATTTTTGCTCTTTTGAAACTTTTGTTTTTATAAAAAGTCACATTTTCTTTTATCTGACTTTTACTGAGCTATCATGGTAAACAAAAATTATTACATAAAATAAACTTTTAAAGTAAAAAAACTTGATTTTTGTGTTTTATACTTACAGTGGAACCTCTATATAACGAATCGCTAGGGGAATGAAAAATCGTTCGTTAGGTAGAGGTTTCGTTATAGAAGGTTTAAAAATGCACTGTGTAATGATAGCCGGGGATTTAAAAGTTGTTCGTTATATGGAGGTTCCACTGTATATGCTTTTCGAAATTAAAAGAAAGAACAACATGAAAATGCATTTTATATTGATTTTGAACGTTTCTTTTTGTTTCTAGGCAATAAATTATATTGAAGATTAAGCACACTTTTGCTATTTTGTTTGGAAGAACATAGACTATTTTTATATGCTTTGTTTTTATCAAATTAATATTAAAAAATTATTGATACTAAGTTATTTAAATTATCCTGTGCTTCTTTACCAAGCAAGTTTTCTTTGAAAGAGGGCACAGAATTATTTAAACTGTCTAAAAATAGAGTAATATAGGGTAGGACATAGCAGGACAAAACAAGACTAAGTTTTCTTCTAATTTTTGACATTTTCAAGTGTATGTCATTAATTAAAATGTCATTTTTAGTAACGTAAATATGTTTAAAATGGCATTGTTTTAAAACAATTTTTAAAACATTTTTTAAAGTTTGGCAGTAAAAGAACAGTCATAGAAGAAGATACAAAGCTATGGACAAAGTTTTTTTTGTCAAATTGACTTGAAAAAAAGAATGCGACGTGACAACCATAATATGAAAAACAACTTTTCATATGATTCGCGGTTTTTTGTATCACAACATTAATATAAATAAGTCTTTTTGTTTATTTCGATCAATTTTTGGGATTTTTTAAAACTTTTGTTGATTTATTTCAAAAATTGTCATTATTTTTTGTGGTTTTTTCTTATAAAAAGAGTCATTTTACCTAAACTTAGCGATATATTACCTAAAAATAGATTT